TTCTCGTCACACCGAAAGGGAACAGGCTTCTCATCCTCCTTCACGGGAACAAGGGCCGTGCTGGGGGAATCAAGAGGCTTCGGGGCAAACTCCTGCACCTGCACCCTTTCCAGGCAAAGGTCAAGCTTCCTGATTGTATGTTTGCACAGACTTAGATAAAAAAGTTTGCAACACTTTTCTTTCTTCCGTCACACGAATTATATATATACAGCGAAAAAACACGAAAGACATATGTGCAGCCACGGCACACTTGATCCTCGTGCGACAGGGACCTGTAGACTTTCCGCTTGAAGCTCTCCTTCTGCTTCATCGCACGGAGGTGGCTAAGAAGAAGACGGATGGCGGTGTCCATCTTGTCCACAAGGTCCTCTGCCTTGTAGTCTTTGTGGCCTTCGAGCTGCAGGTTCTTTTGCTCGTGAAGGATCCAAAAGCTTCGGGTAACCCGCTGCGACAACAACTTCGTGTTCGGGGCGAGGCGAAGAAGGTCAAACAGCAGCCCAGCTGTCTTTGCCAACCACGGACCGTGGACGGCAGTGTGCCAAGTGTAGCTTATTGGCCCGCCCGGAGGGGGGCACAGTAAAGGCCACAGGTCCTTCGTCTTCTTGAACTCGAGAAAGCCCAACACCACCTTCGCCAGCTCCGTTGCTGTAATAAGCGGATCGGCAACCACTCGGTCCTTGGCATTTTTGCCCGTTGCAGCGGAAGCGCCCTCCGCCAGCTTGACCGAAGCTGCAGCTGCTAAGGAAGCCATGCTCGCAAGACTGTATATACTGTGTATGTATAGGATTTATGATTTCTCAAAAAAATGGAATGCATTTGTCTCTGTCTCCATCCAGCCTCGCACTTACCTCTGGGTCTCGTCTGGACCAAACACACAGCTGCAACGTCCGAAAATTTTTCTCACTCTCGGATCTCAGAAAAGTATATATATATATATATATAGTAGATCTCTCGCATGTAACCTACAAGAGTCTCGCACAGGTAAAGGTGGACTCCTCGCAGGTATAAACTATATTGTGATGACTCTCGCAAATGTACATGTACCGATTTCTCGCATGTAAAAAGCACACATCGCAAGCAATCCGCCGGCTCGACCCAGCACAGAATCAAACCGAGCTGCGATTTCAACATGGAAAACCATGGCTTAACAAGTATGCTTGCAACACAATTCTCATAATTTTATCTTCACACCTGACCATGCCGCACTGTACAGTCGCAGGAAAATCTCATGCAATCAACAAGCAGAACCATGATAAAAGAAACAAAACCAACCAAAATTAGCTTGCATTTCACTTCTTCAAATTCGGGAATGTGTAACCTAAAAACATGTATTTTGCAGTGTAAAAAAATTTACATTGCAGTGTAAATTTTTTACTATACAAAGTAAATTAATTTACACTTTTTTTTTACGTAAATTTTTTCGTAAATTTGAAGTGTAAACCAAGCTTTGTTTAGTAAATTGCTCGCCACCTAAAATTAGGTAAACAGCAGGGTCAGGGAAAGGTCTTAAGCCTCGAGCCGCGGCAGCGAGCACGAAGGGCGATGAGTTTCTCCCGGAAATTCATCCCCTTGCAGTTGTTGGCAAGGCCACAGACGTCCTCGAACTCTTCGTAGAACTGGACCACGTCCCGGATGTCGGAGCGATCGTCGGTGAGCGAGGGCCATTGGAGGTCCGTCTTCACGGTCGTGATCGACGTCTGACCTCCGCGAGACGCCAAGGCCTCCTTGAGCGCCTCGGTCTGGGCCGCCAAAGCTGCAGCGAGCTCTCCGGCTCCGCCGCTGGCGGAGTGAGGCTCGCCGGGCTTATCCTTCTTAAGCCCTTCGAGCTCTATCTCCAGAGCCGCAAGGCGGGACTTCAGGGGTGAGTCCCCCGGACCAGGTTGCGGATCCTCAGGGATCGCGAGCTGAAGGTCCACCGGGAGAGGCGCCGGTGCTCCGGACTTAGAGCCCGACTCCGCAACGGCGCCCGTCCGGGCCGCCAGGGCCGGGACAGAAGAAGGAGTGCTCCAAACCTTCTCGGGATCGCCGCTGCTCTTGCCTCCCAGGGCCAAGATCAGCTCGCCGAGGCACGAGATCTCCTTCTCGACCTCCTCTCGGTCTTCCGACCCAAGAGAAACCGCGGCAACGGTAAACCTGGTGCGCAGGGCCCGCACCATCCTGGCAGGGTGCCAGTCACCTCCCATTTTGCCGTATTCCTCGGCAAGGATGGTGGCCTTGGTAGTGATCTTCTCAAGATCCTCCACCGTGACCTCTGCCTGGTGCGCCTTCAAGGCCACAACCAGCCTTGAAACCCGCGTCAGGTAATCCGCGACCGGTTCCTGGTCGGGACGGTAGAGCTCCCGCAGGTCCGCCTGCAGGGTCTCCGCCGTGACGGGACCACCCGTCCCAGCAGACGAGGGAGGCCCGGAACGGGCCGGGCCGCCGGCCACCGGCGAGAGAGCAAGCGCACCAACACGGCGCGCCGTCTCGGCCACGTCCGCCGGCGCAGCGGCAGGACGCGGAGCCGGTACCCCGGCCTCCGGCAGAAGCTCTTCAGAGCTGGGGCCCGGATCGCCATCCTGAGCACCCGGGCCCGCTTCCGCAGCTGGAGCTTCCTCATCTTCCTCTTCATCTTCTTCCTCTTCCTCTTCGGCATCGAAGTTGTCGTAGAGGAATTCCATCGTCTCCTTCCACAGACGCTGTTCATCTGCTAGCGTCGTGGATCGTCCGTCCTTCTTCTTGGTGGGACGGGACCCCGTTTCCTTACGCCAACGGAGCCAGTACATAAAGGGCATCTTCTCCGGGTACTCCACTGACCCATCCTCGATGCACCTCAGCAACGTGGCTCCTTCCGGCTGACCTGCGACCTCAGCGCTCATGGTCGCCTAGCGAAGGAGAGAGCCCCGTGCCACACAGGACCACGGCCTCAAGGCGCACGACAAGCGCGCCTTCGAGGCCACGTTAAAAGATTGCGGCGCAGCAGCCGCCTGGGTGGCCGTTTCCCAGAACAGCCCCCAATTGTGGAGAACGGAAACCCAAAGGGGCAGCACGCACCCTCGTTTTCCGTCCAAGCAGAAAGTCCAACGACCGTGACAGGTCGAACGTCCGCCCAGGACGGGCTGCGCGCAATTGCGTCGCGGCAACGAGAAGCTACCAACGACACACTGCCGTGCTCACTTGAGCCAAAAATGTTATGAATACGAATTACAGAAGAGCATGCATAAAAGCATACAGCACAACAGCCAGCCCGCAGACTATGTACAGTTACATAGTAGTAGTAGTGGCGGTACTAGCAGCCCACGACGACTACTGCTACTCCCACTCCAACTCCTACTACTACTTCTACTCCTATTACTACTCCTACTCCCTGTGTTTGCGAACGGCTGTGGACGCGGATAAGTGGAGAATGCAAAAAAAACGCGAAAAGCAGAAAAGCGAAAAGTCGAAATTTTACGCGAAAAAACGCGAAAAGTTGAAAAGTCGAAATGTCGCGAAAAGTCGAAAAGTACAGCAAAACGCGAAACGTCGTCGAAAGGCCGACAAGCCGCGAAAAGTCGAAAAGTACAGCAAAACGCGAAAAGTCGAAACGTCGAAAAGCAGCGAAGTCGAAAAGTACAGCAAAAATCGAAAAGTTGAAAAGTCACCACAGGAGAATCCGCAAAAACAACAATTGGCACACATCTGAAGCATCTTGGCACGGCTTTGGTCTGCAGAGAGCAAAGGTAGATCCAGGATAATGTCAAGGATTTTGGGTGCTGGGGGAAGTGTTCTGGCCTTGGGTAAACTCCAAGCCCGGAGAACATACTCATTGACCCGAGTTGAACAAACCCCATAAGCTGCTTTCAAAATCCAAGCTCTTTAACAATCTAGCCCAGGCCTATAACGCCCTAGCAATCGTCAAACGCTGAAGCGGCTGTCGTGCTTAGTGGTGCGCCCACCGTCGACCAGAGCAGGAAGGCCCGAATGAGCTACAACCACAGCTATGACTGACTTTAAGAACGATCGTGTGACTATCGAGTCAGCTGGTGCCCAATCAAAAACTTGTACAAGCAAAAATGAGGAGGCAAGAACATTTTACGTACATGCATATGTATGTACAAATATCTGAATAAACAAACACATACATAAGAAATTTGTATACATACATATGAAAAGATATGTAATTATGTATATATATAATATATATATATATATACACATAAGTACACATATATGTTTATACACCACTGTTAAACCCTAAACTCCAAGCCCGGAGAGCATACTCACTGACACGAACAAACCCCATAACCTCATTTCAAAACCCAAGCTCTTTAAACATCTAGCCCAGGCCTATAACGGCCTGTCAATCGCTAAACGCTGAAGTCCTAAAACGCGAAAAACCCGAAAGGAACAGCCGACTACGAAACGTCGAAAAAAATCGAAAAGCAGCCAAAAGCTGCAAAGTACAGCAAAAAGTGAAAAGTCGAAAAGCCGCGAACAATCGAAAAGTACAGCACAACGCGAAAAGTAGAAAAGCCGAAACGCCGCGAAAAGTCAAAAAGTACAGCAAAACGTGAAAAGTTGAAAAGCAACGAAAAGCAGCGAAAAGTCGACAAGTACAGCACAACGCGAAAAGTCGAAAAGCAGAAACATCGAAAAGTTGTAATTTTACGCGAAAAACGCGAAAAGTAGCGAAAAGTCGAAAAGTACAGCAAAACGCGAAAAGTCGAAAAGCCGCGAAAGGTCGGAAAGTACAGCAAAACGCGAAAAGTCGAAAAGTGCAACAGAAACGCGAAAAGCCGAAAAGTCAAAAACTTTTCGGCTTTTCGACTTTTAGAATTTCGTCGCGATTCTCCGCTTATGGAAACCAAGGCCTGCTTGCGTACTTAGCCTACTCCTACCCCCACTGCTCCTGCTCCTGCTCCTGCTCCTGCTCCTGCTCCTCTGCTGCTGCTGCTGCTAGTACTGCTGCTGCTGCTACTGGATAAGGCTGAGGTGGCCTCACCGGCTGTGTGTCCAGTCTGACAGTTTGGGGTTAGGGTTTAGGATGGTCTATGCTTTGCTGCCCAGGCCTTGAAGATCGCCTTGGGGTAGAGGTAGACCTCAGAGTTGTTGCCGTCCGCCTGCTCCGTGCTGCTGCCGTCATAGTTCCACACACGAAGCCCTGCAAAATGACACTCCCGTGCTGGGGCTGTGCGAGCAAGCCCACTTCTTCGTCGGCTAAAGGTAATTAGCTTCTTCCCACATCCGTCGCATGAATCTGCTAGAACTTAGGGTATGGCGACGGTTGGACGGGGTGCGAGTGACTTAACTGACTAAACTAAAGTACTTGTAGCACATGCGAAAGTACCACAGGCCATGGCACGAATCTGCACAGCATCCGATGCAAGAAGGCAGCCCTCAGAGCATCACTGCCTTCCACGGAAGTCGGCAGCGTCGTCATGGTCATCGTCTTGGACCTAGCAATCTTGCAGCGCGCGTGGAGGCTTCTTTTCGGTCTCATCAGCTCCACCGCTCACATTCCCACGGCCCACCGGGTGGATCCACCCGACGCATGCTTAAGCAAAGAGCGAAGGCTGTAGAATGCTCTCCTACATACACAGCAGACACTCCACTTTGCCAATCGGGTGAGGGAAGCACCAAACATGTGTGCCGCATACACCGCATACGCACTCTAGTATGCGGTATACAATAAAAAAACATGACATTTTTCTCAGCCCTACCCTGCTGTGACTGTTGCGAGTCGCTCAGCAAGACATGACATAGTACATGAAAACAACAGATAGCACTACACAACAGAGTTATTATGTGTAACGTATACATACGTACATACACACATACAGACATGCAATACTTTGATGTATACATGCCGTTTCCGCTTTGCATCAGCTTCGAAGGTGCAGGGGCTCCAGAAACACACCCGGACCCAGCCTTGGAACCTGCTTGGCATCCAGCCAGACGTACTCCGCCAGGACCGCACCGGCATAGCCTGAACTGCAAGTCGTACGTAGCTCTGGTGGACAAGGCCCGAACCCAGAACCCACTTGGATGCTATGACTTTTGAGGAAATGGATAGGGTTCTCAAAACTCAGTTGAACAGGAGTTGGTGTCGGGATTTCATGCTGTAGCGATACATCTTGGTGGAATACGGGTCTCTCTGGGCCAAATTCCCGTGCAGTGAAACTGGACCCTGAGTGAAGCACTCCAGCAATTCGAAGAGACTCCCGAGCCCCCCTCCCCCGAAGTCACAAACCTGAATAAATTGATAGCAGGGTGCTGGTCATGTTGGCCAAGCCATCAGCTCCCTGGTCCACGCCCTTCTTGGCCTTCTTCTTGCTGGCGCCACCCCCTGCAGCTGCTGGCCTCCGTTCCGTGGTGGTCTATTCTGCGTGATGTGCGTGTGGTGGGCTTTCCTCTACCCCTCCGAAGTGCTCCGAACTTTGAGTCGGCCTTTGCTTCTCTCTCACTCTTCAGGCTCCTGAGAAGGAACGTAGGCTTCGAGGGGCCTGACTTGGCTCCTACATGCCTCCATCACTTGTGCACTCGACTTCAGTCTGGCCATTGAGAGATTTTAATTTACGAGCCACTACCTCCGGCCTCTTCTTTGGAGCCATGCTGGCTGCTGAGGATGGTCAGGATGCACCTTCACGACTTTGCGAACTCTTGGAGAGAATCTATAGCAGAAGCGTAGTTTACAATTCTACGAAGGCTGATAGCAACAGTGAGAATACTTATGAGTATAGCAATACTGAGAAGAATGAGCATAAGCATAGGCATGATAGTAATAAACTAATGGCAGTACCATAACTTTTCCATCCTGCCTATGCAGCCTTGGAGAGAGAAGGGCGACCCCGCTTTGAGCCGTAAACGGGCCGGCGGATGTCGCCAAGCCACATGGCCGTGATGCTTTCACGGACGGTGTCTAAGGGGTCTCATTCCCTGGTGCATGTGTGTATATGTGAACTTATTTTCCATTTCGCATTCATGGCTTTGCAAGTGTATGTGTATACAAACGCCTGCAGATACGTGTGCAAAGCTTACGTTTACAAACAGATACACGAACAAAAACTAAAGCAACTACGTAACTGTCTAGCTACATTTTGTCTATCTATGTCTGTCAGCCTCCTTGCTGACCTCCACCGGCCACCAGCCCGCCAGGCCCAACCAGCCTGGAGTTGGTGCGACACAGGCAAGATGCGTTGAGCATCACAAGTTCCAAAGCTGGTTGGCCAATAGCTGGCTTGCACCAAAGACAAGTGAAAGTGACAACGGTTGACAGCATGTGCCGGCTTCAATTTCTTTTGGACACACATCGTCTGAGATGTCTGGCCAACCACGCTGACTGCCCCAGCAAGGACCAGGTAGGCCTGCCGTCTCCTGTCAAGATGCCGCCCACTTCTGAAGAGCTGTGGCAACGCGCTGAGGGGACACATTGTGATTTCACACTCAGAGCCGCGCGAGCCGAAAATTGGGATGCTGTCTGCCTCGGGCCCCGAAGCGCGTGGCGCTTATGCACATGGTCTCGCCGCCAGGCCTCTACCGACTGACCCAGGGATACAAACTCACAGCAGTTCTGCAAGCATCCCAAGGCGGTCGGATTTCAAGATGGTCAACTGTGCGCTGAGACGAACTCTGGGGCATGCGCAACGAAGCCCCACAATGGCTTCATAATCCATGGCCAATACCTGCCAGGCGTTGTCAACTCAGATTTGAAAACCGAGAGTCATGCGTGCGACGCTGGGGCACGTGAAGGAGAGAAACAGCGAAGAATCTGCTGGCGACATCCCCAGGGTATCCTGCCGAGCAACGTCACAGATTAGTGGTTCCAGCGTCCAAAAGAGCAATATCTGAGCTACGATACATTCTATTGTAGTTTATGATATTATACGATATGATATGGTATGATATGCTAGGGTTTAATTTAAAGTAAGTCTGAATGTCGCAAGCCTGAGGCTGCCTCCAACCCTCGCTCGCCTCTTTAGAGGCTGCCCGTCCTTCACATAGAATGGCTTTGCCAGAGCCGCCAGCGCCAAAGCCCCCTTGGGTGTCGTTCAAAGAAGGACGAGCATGGTTGGGGAGCTCAAGCTTTCCTGTGGTGCCGAGGTGCTTGAGCAAAGTAGGCCAGTCCGACTGCCGTGAAGTCGGCGGTGAGTGGCACGCCCAGCAACTGCGAGAAGCAACGGTCACGGCGAGTTGTTCTAGTGCTTCACTACATCCATCTCTGGCGCTCAACTGGCATTCCCCCTTGAGGTTCCCGTTGAATGGTGGTTCCAATCTTTTCCCCTCCTTTACAAAGGCACCCCCGGGCGTGGACCGTGGACCTCCCAAGGCTCCTCCTTCTGTGTGGGAGTCGATGGCGGTGAGTTGTAAACTCTTCGGGACCTCGGGAAAAAACAAGGATCCTCGTCGCAAAGAAGAACTCAGGCTCAGGGTCGAACAGCTTTGAAACGGAGCGGATGCTTGCCTCAAGCTGGGAAGGGGACTTGTAACACGGCTACTCGTGCTCCCCCTGACTCGTGTCGAGCGCTGCCCTGCCTTCCTGCTTCGGGTTCGCTGTCTTCGCTCGCAACCTTGTGCCAAAGCCTTGGCTCCAGCCATCACGAGCGAGCGAACGCTGAGGGCTGGTTGGGGCGGGTTGGTGATGCAAACACCAGACGTGCCTCCGTCTTTTTCAGGAGAGGCCAGGAACCTTTTGCAAAGTGGTGCTCCACATCTGCAAGCCTTCTGTGTTGGACCATTGCACAGCCAGAAGGTCAAGCACAGATGGCTTTGACGGCATCGAAGCGAAGACACTCGGGGGACAAGGGTAGGGTTTCTGTCAACTTTTCCTGGCGATTGTTAACCATGGTCAGCTTGATCTGTGATCCCACTGTTCCCCGAGTTTGGATGCCGGACACGTTGTGGAGCGAGGTGCATTATCTATCGCTTGGCAACCCGCATTAGGTGTCACATTAGCCTTCTGATTCTTTCAAGCGTGCTCCTTCAGCTCATCCCCACAGCCTCAACGTGCCGCGACGCTAGAGTGCACTAACAAAGACAGATGCCGCAGTGCCCTAGCACCCTGCAGCTTCCGATTTCATGGGGGCATCTGCGGTGCATGTGCCCACAGTTTGGCTGCCACCTCTACATTAACGATCGCGCAGGCTTCAGACAGCCTCAATCACTGGCCGCTCGCCACGTGCTGCCTCGATGCGGTTCGTTTTAGGGGAGACATGCTACTCAGTGCACAGCATGTCTTGGAGAAGCCCGAAGCTTCACTCAAGCCCTACTCATGTACCCTCTAACATCCATGAAACTTTTCAGCAATACTGGAGTGGGGGCGTCTAGGGAAGATGTCTGTGCCAAGGTGCGTCAGCGAGTCGCAGTTGGCGCGACAAAACTACCTGGTCCGAAGTGACTTCTTGGAGGAACTACTTCTCGGGGCATGTCACGACTTCACATGTTGTAACTCTGAGCATGCTGCAGGCTGCGTATGGCGCCGTGCAGGTCGTAAGTGCATTACCTGGCACCGCTGCAAACCGCTGGTCTCAGAAGGTGGGCCCTAACGGTGGCTGCTGAAACATGGAAGTCCGGCCCTCTGCGTCTGCGGAGCAGGTCGCTCCCTGAGCGAGATTGCCTGGATCCGCAGCTGGATGCCCAGCTGTATGCGCAAATGTGTATATGTCTATATATATATATATATATATGTGTACATATATATATATACATATATATATATATATATGGTTTTGTCTATATATATATATATATGTTTTATCTATATCTATATATACACACATCCGTATATATATGCACATATATACACATATCCATATATATATATATAATGTCTGTATATATATATATCCATATATATATATATATATATACATATTGGTGCGGCATGAGAGCTTGTCTAAGCTGAGCCCAGCACAATCTGCAAGGTTGGTGCACACCTCAGGCTCATTGCAGCACCCGGTTTTCGATGCTGCACAGCTTTGGCCCTGCCGGCCTCATCCACGGTTCGACTCATGAAGATGAAGCCCCATTTGCAAAGCTTTTGCCTGCAACAGACTGGAAAGCGGAAAGCCTAAACTGTCAGTCTTGAGGCGATTCGCCGCGAAAGTCACTGGACACGACACCCGAGTGGTTCTCTACGCCGGACAGCGAAAACAGAACCGTTTGCTTAGTTCTCTCATCTGCAGTTCAGGTGCTTCTTGGCATCCGACATGTCTCCACCAATTCGCCCTCGCACGATCAGCAGTTGAAACCCCCGCAATTGGGTTTTCACGGCCCTGTGTACCGTTATCCCCGTTATCCCCTGCACCTATGCCAGAACGTCGTTAGATCTGCGCTCGCGAGATGCTGCCAGGCCGCCGCAGCAGTTGCAGGTGAAGCAGGTGCTTTGATCGAAGCAGCTCTGCTTCACAGTGGTCACCTCGGGCAAGCATGGAGAAGAACTGCTGTGGTACATGCAGCATAGTCTTGCCCAAAGTCGCTGAACAAGCCAATGCAAGCTTCTGGATTGCTTGCAAGCTTCACATTGCAGGTCTTCATCGAAGGGGACGTTCGAGATGATGGAGGCGATGATAAAGAACATGATGAGAGTCATCAGCGGTCCACGTTTTGATGGGCTGAAGGCATCCATGACCTGAAAATGCCAATGCAAGGGCAAAGAGGTCCCACGTCTTCAGAGGTGGTTTGTACGGTTGATGATATACATCCTGCATTGAAAACATGGAAACATAAAAAGGAATGTACCGTAATTTCCACAGTCTAGGGTCATAAGGTAATGCAGGAACTACATCATCAAGCGTAGTTACCAGGCGTTAGGATTAAGAGGGCCCTTGGGAATATGGACCCTCTCAAAAAGGTCCCTTTTAAAGTAGCCAGAAGTAGGGTTAAGAAGGTTCCCCTTTAAGGGGTCTCCGAGTTACTGGCTCCTACCTGAAGGGTCAAGCTAAGCAGCCTTCTCCACCACACTGGCAGCCGTCGGCATGGAATAGCGCCAGTCTCGACCCGTTTTCGGGAATGGCAGGGACGGGTTGCCTTGCAACGGCAGGCCACAGAAATGGTGATCTCGGTGATACTTCCCTCGTTTAAGACAATCAGCTCTCTTGCTGTCGCTGTTCAGAGCTTCACTTCCGTGGCGAATTCTACCGAACCCGCTCCTTTCCTGCTGCACGGCTCAAGGCTTATGGTTGTCGCCTTTTCGGCTGTTCCAGAACGAAACACGACAGCAACGCACACTGCATACTGCAACAATCCCTGTGCAAACGGTGTAAGCATGTGCTTGCTTCTCTTCGTCCTTTATTATTCTGGCAAAACCGAGCCGGTTCCTATTCCCATGCATGCTGGGCCTTTCAACCAAGCGGTCAAAAGCTCAAACACAATTGAACCGCGTCAAACAAGTTGCAGGGTTTCCTCCGCCCGACGAACGAGATCATGTAATGTACCCGGCACACACTGAAACGCGACTGTTGGCACTGTACTTCGGCACATGTCTCACCAGCTTCACAAGACCCACCACACCCGACAAAGCCAGCGACGTCTGGAAGTGGTTGCCTTCCTGCGTGAGACACATTCAAGCTTGAGTGATGTCCGAAGCAATCGCTGGGATCGCCTGTTGCCGCTTGCCATGTCTTTCTTTACAATAAGCACGTGCTTCTGATCACTGCCGTTGGTGGTGCGTCTCAGTTTATCGAGATTTGTACCTCGCCTTTTCCCTTTCGCTCTGCAGGCTTTTTGCAATCATTCACACCACAAGAAATCATAACTTCTCGCTGATTCTTCGAAGCGATTATTATCCCATTAGGCCTCTATGGCCGATGCAAGCTGATCACTGGCATCTAGAATTATGAGAAAAAAGTTACAAAGAGGAGAGTGCCTTCCGGTAGGCCTTGAACACCGCTTGACCGAGCCATAGTGCCAGGAAGGCCGTCGGGAGTACTTCCCCACCAGGGTTGAACAACCAGTACGCAAGACAATAGGATTGCTGAACACACAAACGGTGAATGAAACGGGTGCTAACCAAATACCGAATACCAACGCTAGTACTGGCAATTGACGGGACAAGGTGTACCAGCAACAGCAGCAAGAGCAGTACAAATCATGTAGTAGTAGTAGTAGTAGTAGTAGTAGTAGTAGTAGTAGTAGTAGTAGTAGTAGTAGTAGTAGTAGTCGTCTGCAGCAGATGTAGCTGCTACAGAATTGTTGAAACAAACAAGCATCCACCGCGTCCGACGAGTCATTGACAGCGAGAACCTACTGGTAGCATGACTACGATCAGTAGCATCCGGACCTGATGCGGGCCTGTGTGGAGAGTATGTACTAAAGCTAGGCCAAAAAAGGCAGGTATTGGGGGCCTGCCTTCAGCATTCACATCACACTGCTGCAATCAACCAACATGGACACGTGCAGGCGTCAGAGCAAGTGAACAGTGATCGCGACAGATGGTACAGAAGCTATATACAGTAAGGGCTACTATAAGGGATGTGCAAGGCTACTATACGGGATCTATAAGGCTACTACAATATATGGGCCACAATAAGCGCAAGGGCGAGGGCCGGCACAACCATGTTCAGCTGAGGTGCGGTTTGGCTCGTTCCGTGCAATTCCAACTTTGTTGTTCTCGTTGGAAGCTTCCGTCTGAGCCAGCACTTGAAGGACGATCTTCCTGCAGAACAAAAATGTTGTGGCCTATCAGCTATCTGAAACAGTGACAAAATCTGCATAGCCTTTCGGAGCCCCAGATGTAAGTCCTCAAGCCTGAATCTGCATGCTTTTCGGCCAAGGCGCATGTAGGCTGCAGGCGGGATAGCCCTTTCCTCCTCAACTGCTCCACCGTTGAACTCGCCTTCTCCTGCACTCCACGGGAACGTTGGGATTTCCGCAAGAGGCTGCTGAGTGAGGAACGGATGCTACAAGGAGTTCAGAGTGGCTTGCGCTCCGATCTTCTACTCATCCTTCGTCTTGACACAGCATCCGTCCTTCAGCATCCTCTTCTTCCTCTGCGGCCGGCTCATCTTCCTTCAGTTCAGACGGAGAGAAGCTCAACAAGCGGGCCTTCAAGAGCAATGAGACTAAACCTTCAAGAGCAAGGACGGACTGACAGCAGGCAACTGCACGGCTCCCCCTGGGTTGCACTTTGGACACGAAATGCAATACTCGGCTGGACACCAGCTTTCTCAGGCTCATCGGCCGCATGTCGAAATATTGGCAGCTTCACGTGGACATGCTCGTGCATCTTGCACTGCCAGTAGAAACATCAAGCAACTCTTCCTGCTTGCCCACCCCTCTGTGCCGAGTCGCATCGCCATCGCCACCTCCTTCCACACCTCCTTCACCCTTCATCTCTTTCTTCAGCTCCGCTTGTAGCTGGTTATTCGACAGGGGCAACTCTGCCTCCATTTCCAGCATCATGCGATCCTGGCAATGAGGTTCGGTGCCATGAGGATTCTGGCATCTATGTCACCTATGTCATATCAAAACTGGCCTGATCTGGACTCTGTGTCTTCTTGGATTCAGATCCCAATCTGACGTCCCTGGTGTAGCCGAGCAGCTTCGGAGACCTTCTTGACGTAGCTCTTGAGCTCCAGGAGGCTCTCGCAGAGCATAATGGGCCGGGACAAAGCGAAGTATTCCCAAACGCTCAGATGCAAGAAGCAATCAATGGGGACCCCCTTGGTAACCTGGATGCGTGAGAACAGAAAGCGCCAGTTGAACTCGCCATCTCCCACACAGGAATCATGTTGATCCGTCTCTTGCTCCTTCGGCTGGGGTCCATTGTAAGTCCTGCAATCAATGGAACATCGGCAGCGGATGCTGATGCTTTCCCTCGGGTCGCCGTACTCGTCAGTGCCTGAGAGTTGCAAGGTTCAGGTTCGGGTCCCACGCAAGTGAAATGCTGGGGTCCACACACATGCGCATCTGCAGGTCATGGACCGTCCAGCATATGAGCCGGACCTCCACCTTGATGGCCAAAGCGGCCGGGGCACAAAGCGACTTGTGCACACATCCTACTGCTCCTCTCCCAAGGCACTTCCATAGCGGGGGGCTGCAACAGCTTGCTCACCGGAATCTCCGCGGCGGTAGTGGTATCCAGGAGCTCGATCCACATCTCAAGGGAGCCTGAAGGGCGGGGATGCAAGACAATCAACTCTCGGAAAAGGCCATTCCCTGAGGCGGTTTGCACATGGCCTTTGGAAATGGTGCTGACATCACCAGTGTTCGCGTCGATGGACTCGCAGATGAGTGGCCGATACTCAATCGGCACCTTCCCAGGGGCTTGCATCGATCCATCGTCTCGGAATTAACGGCCGAAATCACGAGCTACCTTCAAGCCGAAAAATGCCCGCCTTCTTGTTCTTCATCATGATCATGTAGTCCCTCGTGTAGAACCTACGGGCACCGCCGTGGTTTGAGGCATCACGGCAACATGTGCAGAACAGCTGCGACGGTGTGCATAACTACTACAAGACTGCTCTCGTCAGCCCTTCTCTGGCCTGTCTTCGAGGTCCAGGACACTCTTTCCAATGAGCAAGTCCTCGCCGTTCTCCTGGTAGTCGAAGAGGCCGATTTCGAAATAAGACCTGAGCCGAGGAGCCGAAGGGCCGCGACGTTCCGCCAGAGGCTACGGGCCATGTTAGACATTCACGAGCAGGGAAGCAGGGAAGAGTTTGGGGGGTATCGTATACAACAAACATGGTAGGGACTATACTGCTAATCATAGTGTCATTGTAAACTATCCCTTCGAAGCTTCTTTCTCTGCTGAGGCTGCAGCTGCTCCGGCAGATTGATGTCACACTCCTGCGCTTGCCATGAGGTGGCCGTGTGCTTCCTATCCCAGTAGCCCAGCACTGCAGCCCCTTACTTCCCAGCTCCTCCGTGCGGAAATAGCGAGGCTCAACAGATTGCATTTGGCGATGCCCTTCCAGCGAAACCTTGCTTGCACCTGGGCTGCTCCCTCTGCCCCAATGGCCAAGGTTTTGCCTGGCTCGCCAACAACAATCCGCAATCTTAGCCCGTCACCGTACATGAAGTACAGATAAGGGTTGCCATAGCCAGATACAGCCTTGCAGAGACAATCAGAGCAGTCTTTCAGAGGTTTGCAAGGAAGGGAGGACAAGCATCTACATCGGCTCCAGTCTCTGCCAAAGCACGCCGCTGACGTTGAGCCCCCGGATAATGTAAGTCCGCACACGGAGAGAGTGGGGCTGATCAATCTTGAAGCGCTTACGCAGCATCTTCTCATTGAAGAAGACCTGCTGCATCACGCGCTTTCCATGTGCATGATGGATTCGTGTTTGCTCCGCAGGAGTCCACTTCGGGCGACAATAGTAACCACTACTGCCTGCCTTGTCTTCGCCAGTGCCCTTGGTTCAGATACACACATGCTGTCTTGTACTCACATCTACAAGAAAATCAAGGATGCTCCGTTGTATAACGAGGCACATCGCTCATAAATGTGAGGCTGAAAATCTGCGGCTCAACTATAGCTCTATTAACTATGAAGCATGCAGTGTGATCGACAAAGAGGCCATGCCTGCTCCCTTGCAGGAGGTCGCAGAGGTTCATGCCGAATGTACAGGCAGAATGGAGTTGTCCCTTCCCTCCCTCCCTCCCTCCATGGTCCATCTCTCACTCGCGCTCGCAGGTACGCAGGCAGGCAGGCAGTGAGTCGCTTTCTCAGTCATTCAGTCAGTTAGGCTCTTGACACGATTGGTGAAGCATGAATGTTATCAATCAAAGGTTCGCAACCCTTGCTGGCAGGAGGCTTCCTTGCCATACATCCACTTCTTGTTTGGAGGCGAAACCACCTCGCGCAGCTGCACCACTGTTTTCACTTAAGTGGGTCGGGTGGGATGTCGTGCTGCAGCTGCACTATGCTTTGATGCGGAAAGTGCCTGAAACGTCGCTTTGTCCTTTACACGATTGTCTCGCGAGCACGAAGGAGTCTATTCCGGGCCTTGAACCTGGCCTTCACCTGGCCAATCTCTGTGGCACCGCCTTAGCACAGAGAGCTTTCTCCGGAGTGCAGAGCCGGCTCTGCGAAGCTGTCATGCGGCGAAGCTGCTGAGCAATGGGATGTTACGGAAGACTGCTGGGTTCATGTTGTGCTCAAGACCTTAGCACAGGATAGCCTCCCCAAGCACGACAGGCTAAACTGCATCCAGCGCAGGCGAGGTGTATTTCGCTTGCGACTAAGAGCAGGGCATCCTTGCACAGATGGCCTGGCTTTGTCATCTTCTTCATCACCTTTTGCAGCATTACAGGGACGCACTAATTAAGTGCCAAGCTCGCTCCATTTTCAGTCCCAGGGGCCGCCAGCGATGAACTTCGCCAGGCCCTAGAATCACACTTGGTGTCAGCTGCGCGGTCAAGCTTGAAACCTCATCCCCGGAAACCCTGCCTGGACATCCAAGCAGGCAGCTCGTGCTGGGCGGCAGTTCAGATGCTGAGTATTCACAGGGTCCGGGATCCTTGGCGGCAGACTCAGAGGACTTCCCCCTAGGCCCTAAACTAGGAAATCAAAACGCCTCCATGCAGGCTAGGAACACTGCGCTTGGTCTGGGAACACGCATGAAAGCTAGAGGGCCGTCCTGCAAAGACTTGGCAATACCTCAGACCCCTCTCGTCACCCGTCCGTTCCCCGTCCTTGTGTCTGAGCTTGTGCTCATACTCCTGCAGGGAAGTGGCATGGACAACGAACCGCATCTACGTGGTGTCCACATGCAGCGCGCCAGCTCACAAACAGGACTTAGCATAGCTAGGGGAGGCCTTGAAGACTTACCTGCTGCTTAGCTGCTTACATGTGGGGCTAGAGTCCACGTGACGACCAACAGTTGCGGAGGACAGGGCTTTGATTTCTTGGATATTCCTGGATCATTCACAGGAGTGCAGCAGTGAACACAACATCTGTGAGGCAGCCCTGAAACAGAAGCATCCGGCTGACAGCCCCACACTCAGTATTGCAGAAACCTGGCTCATCCTCGCTAGTCTGCTAGTTCGCCAGCACAACTGCCACAAGAATTCTGTAACATCTTGAGCGTCTAAACTCCAGAACTACGGATCCCCCATGGGCTTCCTTTTGCCCAGGTGTCTGGGGCCCTGAGAGTCGCACCTTGAACACCTCGGAGGCTACGCCGCTCAGCATCACATCCTTCACCTCTTGGATGGCCCTGACGAAATATCGAGTGCCGCAGGGGAAGGAGCTTCTAAAGATTTCTAAAGCATTCGATTTATGGTGCGCTGGAGCCACAAAGAGGCTTGAGATCATGTCCCAGAATTACGAGATAGGGGGTCCTAGGCGGGGGGGGGGGTACCCCCCCCCAAGTGCTTTTACGGTGGCCCGCTCCGGAAATCAACTTGGCATGGTTAAAACTAGTATGACCCTCTCAGGATAAGCTCTACACGGAAACACACATACGACACCACTCCTTCTCCCAAAACCCCCGGCCCCGTAAGGAGTTTTCGGGTTGGCTTTTATAAGAAAGTGGAATGCCTTTGAGGTAGCGTGGACCAACGTGCAGGCAGACACCGAACAGTGGTTAAAAGACTCATGGTGGCAGGCACTGGCTTCCAAGTGGCTGCTCACGACGTTCAGTTGTTCGCCAAGCGCGTTGCATCACGGCGATGTGAAGACATGTCCCGCTGTTGGAAATGCTTACCCAAAAATTCGGATACAGCAAGTGTCCAAGCATAGAAAAAGAAATCAACTGTACACGAATACGAATACCAAGAATTTCGAATTGTGACAAGCTGGGGTCCGTGTTGGGTTCGTTTGTTACTTTGGGATGTGTCTGGGATTCCTTTGAGGCGATTGAAATGTTTTAGTGGGCCTTGTGAAGTGCGTTTCGGGGTCCATTTAGACCCAAATTCCAAGAAGTGCAAAGGGATATTCCTGCGCTCAGGGATAAAATTTCCGCGGGTCGGAAAACAAGTAATCCGCGAAACACCCTTGCAAAACCCGACTCGTCCGAAAAAGTATTCCGCGAATCACCCCAGAAATCCAGATGGATAGCCCGACCGGTCCGAAAAAGTATTCCTGTACGGGTTGGTACGGTTTGAGTACGGGTAAAGGGTGAAAAATGAGTACACCTTTTTTTCACCATCATGTTGGGTTTGGCACGCTTTCTGTACGAGTACGCTTTCCGTACGGGTTCGGGTACGGCTTGGTTTTCACCAAACTTTTCACCATCTGGGGTTTCAGTACGGATTCGGTCTTGGCAAAAAGTATTCCTGCCCCGCCCAAAAAAAACAGTCCGCACCAGCGAATCCAACATAGCCTCAAAAAAGTCGCCCGCCCCAAAAAGTATTCCGCACCACCAGATACAAAAAAAAACAATATGCACCAAAAAGCAAACCTGTTTTCCGAAGTTCTAGAATTCTAGACTTTTGTGGGGATGAAAACAAGTAAACCCATGCACGTACTGGAAACTCTAAATCCAAAAACCCTGAGCCCCGAAACTCTAGACCCAAAGCCCTTGAACGTAGAAGCCCTGAGCCCAGAACCCCAACGCCAGAAACCCGGAAACTCGGAACCCAAAACCCCGAACCATTGAGCCCACAACAAGCCCAAATAACCAGAAACTCAGAAACCAGAAACCCAACACCCTAAATCCTAAACCCAGAAACATCCAGAAACCCTGAACTCAGAAACCCCATACCCCTCAACCCATAATCCCTTAAATCCCAGAAGTCTTAACCCTAAAACGCACCCCCTCAACCCCTTTATAGGGTTCCGAACGAAGCAGAGTTGCCACAACCCTTTCCCCCAGGCCTTTGCCCGACCCGGAGGGGGGCAAAGAGTTGTTGGCACAAAGGCCTGGGGGAAAGGGTTGTGCCAACTCTGCTCCGAAACCCCGTACAGATTTAGGATTTTGGGTCACAGACTTGGAGCCCAAGCTCTCCCCTAAACGACGCGGGCGCGATTCGGTCTCGGATTGGCGTTTGCAAAGTATAAAGGGTATAAGTCTTTTAAGGTGTTAAGACGTCTACTTTGGTTTGGGATCTAAGGGATTGCGGGTTTAGGGTTTTTGTGTTCAAGGGTTTCTGGATGTTTCTGGTGTTGCGGTTTCTGGGCTTGGGGGTTTAGAGCTTCTGAGCTCAAGGTTTCTGGGTTTCAGGTGTTCTGGCTGAGAGTCGTTGGGATCAGTGCTTGTGGCTTAGAGGTTTCTGGGCTTAAAATTTCTGAGTTCAAAGTTTCTGGATGTTTCTCGGGTTGGGGGGGGGGGTTAAGGCTTCTGCTTTTAGGGGCTTTGGGTTTCGGGTCTTTTGTTGACACTCACACTCGGACAAAGCCTGGCAAGGTCCACAGGGTCTTTGGGGTTGGTGTCTGCGGATGCTTATACAGGTTTAGTGGTTTAGGGTTTCAGGGTTTGTGGTTTTAGCGTTTCCTTTTTGGCTTCAAGTGCAAAGGGATACTTTTTTCTACTCCTTCGCTCAGGGATAGAACTTCCGTGGGTCGGAAAACAAGTAATCCGCGAAACACCCTTGCAAAACCCGACTCGTCCGAAAAAGTATTCCGCGAATCACCCCAGAAATCCAGATGGATAGCCCGACCGGTCCGAAAAAGTGTTCCTGTACAGGTTGGTACGGTTTGAGTACGGGTAAAAGGTGAAAAATGAGTACACCTTTTTGTCACCATCATGTTGGGTTTGGTACGCTTTCTGTACAGGTACGCTTTCCGTACGGGTTCGGCACGGCTTGGTTTTCACCAAACTTTTCACCATCCGGGGTTTCAGTACGGATTCGGTCTCCTGCCCCGCCCAAAAAAGCAGTCCGCACCAGCGAATCCAACATAGCCTCAACAAAGTCGCCCGCCCCAAAAAGTATTCCGCACCACCAGATACCAAAAAAAGCAATATGCACCAAAAAGCAAATCTGTTTTCCGAAATTCTAGAATGTTTTGTGGGGATGAAAAAAGTAAACCCACGCACATAGATCTGGCTTTAGGCTGTCTGGGTTGCAATGATTCTGGGGTTAGAGTTGGTGAGTTCACTGTTTCTGGGTTTAGGGTTCTTGGGTTCCGGGCTTCTAGGCTGAAGGTTTCTGGTTTCAATGTCTCTAGGGAAAGAGTTTCTGATTTCTGGGTTTGCGGATGTTTCTGGGTTAACGGCTTCTGGTTTAAGGGTTCTGGGCAACCCGACACGACAGCCGAAAAAGCTAGCGCGGTTTGATGAATCTGACAGGAGCTCGGAAAAGCACTTGGGGGGGGAGACCCCCCCCCTGGCTAACAAGGAAACCAACTTGAAATCCACGTGGATTAGGGTACCCCTCCCCCCTCAGTGTTTTTTAATGCACCCCCCATATTACGAGGGTAAGACTGGGGAAAGGGAGATCTACGCTCGTGGAGGCTTCGTCTCTGGTGCCTGCTGACCTCGAGAAGATCGACTGAAGGGCCGATCTCAGGGACACCCGTAGCCCATCTGGGCATCTGCGTGAACCATGAACTGCAGAACATGAGCAGATACCGGCTGAGAGCTATCCCGCACACGCACCAGGAACCCCGCCCATGCGTTTTGGGTTCATGAATGGTTCTCCCCACACCCTGCGCCGCAAAAGACACCCTTCAGGGTCCTGTCAGAATCGCCCCGGGCCGCAAGGCCATGAGGTCTGCAGGAGACGATCGCCGGCCGCAGCTGCAGCAGCTGCTTGAACCGAGGCATCACCTTTTGCCGCACAGCTAATGAGCAGAGAGTTCGGTTCCGCACCCCATGAACGAACAGGGATTGGAGCTTGTGTATTGTTGAGCCAGGCTTGACTACATGGGGATACTAGAGAAGGAGATTATATACCAGCCACTTCGGAGTGCCAGGGGGTCCGGTCAAGAACTGAAGCAGCGCAGCTTCCGGAACTAGCAAGACCTCACCGGGTTCCCTTCTCGAAGCAGTGCAGGGCATTTGGTAGGAAACATCCTGTAGCCCGCAGAATCTCTCCAGGTAGAGGAACAACACCGGGGGCATCATGCTGAAGATAATACGAAAGACATTTAAGTTGAGATTGGTGGGCTCTGACTCTGCGCACTGTTACCGTACAGTGTCACTAGCATGAAACTCAGACACTCAGAGAAACTAACTAAGCCAACTCCAAGTGACAGCAGTCATTTCCTTCGTGTCCACACCGTTAATGTCCACGATGCGAAATCCAGGACTGATGCCCTGCTTCCGCCACATCTTGTCCTGCCAAGGGGGTTGCTCGTCCCTTTCGGATCAAGGTGGCGCATCTGTGAGCGAAGTAAACAAATAAGCAAATGAGTATACTCGCGAACTAGATGCACATACACAATATTTGTTGGTTCACTGCTCGTATGTGCACACACACACATATGTGTATATATATATATACATATATCTATATATATATATATATCTATGCCACTAGATTAGATTCTAGAGAGTATCGTTTGTTCTGGTGCATCCCTGTTGCTGCTACTTCGGTCCTGCTGAGTCGTTCTGCTTCCAGCACAAACAGCGCAGATCACATACATGTACCGCTTATTCTTATATTAGGTTGTCAAGAGATTACAGCACACTTGGTGCAATAAGTGTAATTTTCCACGCAGCTTACGAAATCATCCAACCGTCAAAGGTAGGTTTTGGCAGAGACGGGTAGAGACGAGCCTACGACCTGAATCCTCAACGGCTATACGGGTGTGCCTTCGAGTTGTCTTTCATGATCTTGGGGGGCATCTCGTCCTTGCTGTTGGCCAACTCCAAGTTGTGCCTGAGTCCACGCTGAAAAAACAGATGCCCAAATAGTTGGACTATGGTATTGGTGTATATTCTGACACGAATAAAGTAGGGACCGTAAGGGGATACCACGGCTTGTTTTGTCTGGCCCCCTCTCGTAATCCCCGAACTTAAGTGTCAAAAATCCCCAATCCCCAGGCTGTTGGTGACTGACTCGCTGGGGAAGGCACGGTCCCTGCAACAGCCGGACTTGGATTTCCATCCGATCCTTCCTGCGGAAGACCAACTTCAGAGGCCTGGCAAAACGGGCTTTTGACTCCGCCCCCAGGTGGTTTAGGGGTGTTCGGGTTTCAGGTTTAGGGTTGAATTTGAGGCTTCGTCGAACTTTGAAGCAGCGGTCTTTTCGTGATTCCCACTTCTCGGACTATAATAAAAAGCCGGAAGTCTCAAGGCATCCCCGGCCTAATCTTCTCCTTGTCAGTCGTCCTCAGCTCTCGTGCGCGCAGCACATTCGGCTTCTCAACACAGACCCATACCGTATAGGGGACTGTAGCGAAAATATGGAATCCCTAAGGAATCGAACATAGGGGAGTACCGTGGCAGTCAGGAGCCCCTACGGAATAAGATCGGTATCCGTAAGCCCTAAACCCTATTATTCCGTTGGGCTTCTATAGATACGCCGATTATCTGAGGCCTGTATCCCTGAACCCCAAACCCTAAAACCCTATCCCTACACCCTAAGCCCTAGGACTATATCCCTAAACTCTAAACCCTGGGGAACCCTACCATCTGGGCTTCTACAGCTACGGCCCGCCGGGTGGCTCGATGAACTCGTTAGCCTGGGCCGGGTTCCAGGTGACGGTCTGCTCTTGCTTTTCCTCCTGAGCGAGTTGGAGATTTTATATATCATATGTATATATATATATATATATGTATATATCATGTATATATATATATATATATCATATATCATATATATATATATAGATGGATGGATAGATAGTATATACAACAAACAGGACAGGAGGCTTGGGAATGTTCAGGGTTCGTTTTTTTTACCAGCTGCGCTTCGGGCTATCAGTCACATGCAAGGTATGAGCAGATCAAAACACACTAGGGTTACTCAAGATGTGACTTGGACTCCGATTGTCTGCCACTGGTAGTGCCAGGCTGCCGTAACTTTGAGATTTGAAGGCGTGCGTAAAGGGGCTTTTTGCCAGGTTTTAGGGCTAGAGCATGCCAAGGATGAGTTCTGCGGTGAGAACAGCCGATAAGTTGCCATGGGTGTGGCTCCTTCTTTTTGACAGCAATCAGCCAGTCCCCGACGCCAATCCTGAGCGGGATGCTGCTTTCGAACCCCCCCCCCCCCGCTGTTGCACCAATGGACGAAAGCCGAAGAAGATTCCAACAGTTGATCTGACGTTGCCACCACGCCGCCCCTTCGCAGCGACGGGGCCCTTCTCACTGCATGCGGTGATAACCGGCGGGAAGCTTGTCTTATCCTGGGTGACATCTCGTCTTCAATTCAAAACGCATCGGCAGCCTGTCTGATGGACAGCATCCCTCCATGCCAAGATCTTGCTATTGGTGCTCAGATTCGGATAAGGGAAATGACACTCGAACACGACTCGATTCATGGAGCAGTGCGCTGCCGACCGAGCATCGTGGCTGTTGAAAGGCTCGCAGGCGAAAATGCACAAGCGTTACTGGGGGTCCGGCATCTTTGTTGAAGGCGATCTTGGCAGGCCTGTGGCTGCCAAACTTCCAATTCAGCTCCCTGTTTTCGCTTTTGTTGATCTGCCAGTGGCTCGGCTTGTCAGCATGAGAAGTAGCCCTACGGATAACGACACGTTATGATCGTTATGCACCTTCCTTCGGTTGCTGCAGACGATGCTGACGTCGGCGGTGACTACCGTTGTGATGGCTCATGACTGCTTTCACTTGCCAGCTCTGAGGACAGGTCTGCGTATCTGTCTGCAGCAAAGATGCTGGTTGCCCAAGACAACCTCCACGTAGTTGGATCCTGACGGACAGCGCCAGACTCCGCTTTGCTCTGAGATGCTTTTCTCGAAGCTGTATCGTACGCAAACATCCTTATGAGGTGGTCAGGGGCATAAGCAAAAATGCGATGTCACGGGCATTCGCACATGTGGGCGTGGATGTATGTGTATAGATCCTTTGGGGGTGTATGAAAATATGTACATATACATACATTACATCGCGATGGATGACATTTTTTGAAACTACACTACGTTTCACTACACCGCGCTAAATCAAATTCCCATTACCGTTACATGCACTGCTAAGCGAAACTAACCCGCTTGCGCCTACCTGCATCTGCCTCTCTCTCTCTCTCTCTCTCTCTCTCTCTCTCTCTCTCTCTCTCTCTCTTCTTCCCCGGCGCATGAGGCCCCGATGTTTTTGTGGGGGCTTTTGGAGGAGTGTGAAAAGGTGGATGCTTTCCCCTGGTTTCTAGGTTGTAGGATTGACAGTGTGATTAGTAAGTATGGTTACCAGGGTTCTTCACTCACGACGACATGACTTTCAGCATGGCTCTGGAGGCATGCTGCGTGCCTCCTTCACGATACCCCCTGCTATGGACTTTAAAAGGTACTACGATATCACTGTGGCACACGTCCCCCTCAGCATGGTGTTCCCGTACATCGCGGTTCTGTCCACACTAGCCGTAAAAGCAACCACACCTGCAAAGGTAACCTACCAAACACAAGATTGAAACATGGCTCTCTGACAGAAACCTCCTCAGCCTACAGGGTCACATAGAGGCCTTGACCGGAGGATGGGAAGCATGCTGTACCATTAGACGACGTTGGCCTAGAACATCTTGGCTCTCCCCTGGTCTGAAGCTTGTACCGACTCTATCTCTCTCTCTCTCTCTCTATCTCTATCCCTCCCTCTCGGTCTCCTTCGATATGCATGCATCCAGACATGCAGACGTATTCATGCAGTCGTGAATATGTCCCTGTACGCAATGCACACCCATCTACACAACCATATCACAATCCATACATCCATCCATCGATCCTTCCATGCGCTACAAACAGTACATACATACATCGCTTACTCACATACATACACGCATATGCTTCATTGGTATACGCGTGCAGCCTGCATGCATGGATGTATGCACGTGTGTCTGTGCCTTCGCCTGTGTGTAGAAATTTGGAGGCATGCATTTCTGTAGGTCACACATGTACATACATTTCGATACATGCCAGATTTATAATTACATATAAACGCTATAACTATATATATATATATATATATATATATATGTACATATATATATACATATATATATATATATATATATCTATTTGTATTTAAAGGTATGCTTATGTAGGCATAGACATACATGTAGACGTGTGCACGAACTTTGTATTATTGGATCTTGAGGATGATGCCTTCATCATCACAATCACTGACGGGCATGCCGTCGTTGCGGTCACCGTCTTCGCCTCAGAACCAGGGAAGCACCAATGCAGCTCAAACAGTTCCGGTGGCTTTCGAGCATATGGCCGTTCAGAGCCGGGCCTACCGAGGACCAAAGCGGGGTCTCCTTGCCTTCCAGCCCTCTGATGCCACCAGGAAGCTGTCGGAATACTTGTCGCGCGCTTCAGTGGATTTCCTTGCGCATGCTGCTTAGTACCAGGACATGCCAGGACAGTGTCAGCCCTGTGCAACCAGCACTCCAATTCATGTCACTCTATCATTGCGTATGTGATGGATGAGACACACTGAGTACGAAGTGAAAACAGATGGATGCTCATGCGCATACACACACACACGGGAATGTGAGTGTGTGTCTGTATATATACATGAATATGTATATATATATACATATCTATGTGTGTGTGCACGCCTTGGCTTACTTAATTTTTGCTGGCGTATGTATATGCACCCACCCACCCACCCACCCTCAAACGGAGACACTCAGTACTTTCTACTGTATGATATGTACATGATCGTGCATCATTGTACACAAGGTATTCATCAGTGTATATACATCTCTCTCTCTCTATATATATATATATATATATGTGATTATATAATATGTACCCAGTTATTGTATTATAAGACTATATCCATTCCAGACCAAGGGCCCCGACCTCCGAACCGGGAGCTATCTGCAACCGAGCTGCTTAGCCTGTACCGGGTCTGTTACCCAGGGTAAATGCCTAGGCCAACGGACTCTTCCTTCAGTGCGTTGACGGCTTTGCACTCTTGAGTGCAGAGTTTCTGAGAGTCTTGGGGTGGACTTTGACTCTGCAGCTTGTTCGTTTTCCTGCCCATAAACACGGAATTGGGCTTGCGGTCACACCTTTGCAGTCCGCGTTCAAAACCCATGGCTTTGCTGAAACCAGACTCATCTATCACCTGGGTTCCTAAACATTGTGAGCCTTGACGTCAAACTCTCAACACCGGCCAGGGTGGTCAGTTGCTGACACTGTAACTCGAGACGGAGAAGAATGCCCCTCCCTGGCAGAACCAAGGAAAGCGCTCGGCCAATCCAATGCGGCCCTCTGCCAGAAGGCTGTTGGCGACAGCACTGTCCTTGCCATATTCAGGCTCACTTCTCTCGGTTAGGGCTCAGCGGTGTGTTCTGCATCCAGGGTCTGTGTCAAATTCCAGTTGGCTCAAGCTCGAGCCAGTTCTAGCTCGCCATGCCATATACTGCATACAATAAAAAATACAAAATAAGTATGTATATATATATATATAGATGTGTATGTATATATATATATATATATATATATATATACAAGGTACGAAATACCCGATACTGAGACAATCCACAAGCTCTAAAGCCGCCGGGTATCGCGAAGGCGGAAGCGGATGTCGGGCTCGTAGACCGGAAGCTTCGGCAGAAGAGCCCCCTGGGAACCGAGGCAAAAGGGTTTAGGGTTTAGGGGAATAGACTGAATGCTACGGATAGTACCCTCATGCAAAATGCTATAGCATAGTATCCTTTGCGTAGTGTGCTATACTACAATAGCAAAACGCCTACTATACTGTTGGTTGGGGTGCTGGGGGCTTGTGTTTCTGCCAATCAGCTTATTTTGTGGGGATTCATTTAAGGCGGTTTTTGAAAGTCGAGATGCAAGGTGAACCACGTTCAGGAACTCATAGCCCGTGCGGCCGCTTGCCGTCCACTTCTTGTTGGTGTCCTTGTCGTGTAGCCGGGTGTTCGGCTTTTTCTGGTACTGTACCCATTCGCTCTTCTCCTGGATGGCATCGCTGCCCTCGGCCGTTGCTAAACCCTCCATGCCGGGCGCAGTCTTCTCCTTCTCCTTGTCTTTCCCTTCCTTTCCCTTTGTGGGCTTCTCCTCCTCCTTGACCTCTGCCACCTCGGCCTCAGGCACCTGTCCCTTCTTGCCCTTGCCCTTGCCCTTCCCTTCCTTGCCTTTGCCCTCTTTGCCTTTTCCTTCCTTGCCCTTCCCTTTCCCCTCTTTCCCCTTGCCCTCCGGAGCCGCCAGAGCCTTGGGCGAAGCCTTCGGCTGGGGCTTGCTGGGGTCCGGCTTCACCGAGGGCACCACGATCTCGAGGATAGGCTCCCCCTGAAGCTGATCTCCCAGTGTGATGTTGCGGAGGCCGATGATGCTCACGGAGACTAAGCAGGGCTTTCCTGGAGGCTTCATGATCTTTTGGGGGAAGTCCGACACATACTTCGCCCTCATCATCTCCAGTCCAATCATGATGTCGCCGGCCCAGCCAGTTGCCATCACGCCACCTTTGAGCTTGAGCCAGCGCTGCCTCATCTTGTAGTTCGCGAGCGGGTGGAGCAGCTTCCGGAAGTTGATCTTCTGCCTTCCGATTACACGCCGGCCGCCCTTCACCTCGCCAAGCCTCTTGGCAGCCATCCTGACACTCAAGATCTTGGCCAAGAAAAAGAACTCCCGAACAGAATCGACTTTAGGGACAAGCGCTGCCGTTTCCATAGGCAGGCAAGGCTCACATCACCCATCATCGTGGCAAGTGCTTGGTCTTTGACGTACTCTTTGTATTCATCTCCCAGCTTCGCCTCGGAAAACAGGCGTGCACGCAAGAAAGGTACAAGCAACACACACACGAAAAGAGTGCTGTGCTGCTGTGCTGATCAGCCAACCCTCGATCAGCCAGTCCAATCAAGTAGTCCTCACTGTTACTAGTAGTGATCGTCGTAGGACTGGGAAGCTGCCGTCGTCGTCGAAGTAGTCGTCGCGGTCGCAGCAATGCGGGTGTCGGCCGCAGGAAGAGCAGTGGCACTAGTAGCAGGAGAATCAGCATCAGGAGCAGCAGTACCAGTAGGTTCCAGTAGTAGTCATGCTATGGCTGTGACATTTATGCGGCTCTTCGTTTATTAGTACATAGTGCTACTGTAGCAAGCAGTGCGCAGCTGATGAGCGGGTGTACGGTTGGGAACTTGCAGTAAGCAGCTGCTGTCGAATTCCAGGGCTCAGCTTCTACAGTTTGACTTCGGCCCGGTCGCAAAATCCATGTCAGCCAACCCGGCTTGTCCGGCTTCGTCATTGAAGTTCAGCTTGCCGTCTTTGTTGTTGCCCAGCTGCCCCGCCATGGCGCTGTTCGCCAGCTGCTTTGCACTACTTGCGGCATCGGCTACCTTGTCCATCAATGACTTGCCAACCACGTCGTACACGGTGAGCCTGCAGCAGGAAAACTCACCCGCAAAGAGCTTGATAAACCGAACCCGGCTCGCGAGCATTGTATGCCAATAGCGGTGTCTGAAGTAAAGCCGGGAATCTGCACTGGTTCCGGATAGCAGCGCATGTTCTGCAAAGAACACTGGAGGCCTCAGACCGCACACGGGTTGATCCGACTTTGATCTGTGCTGAGCTTCTGTTTCACGCGTCGTACACGTGCGATGCTACAGACTATGACAACTGCTGGAGAGGGGCTGATGTCCAATGGCAGCATATCCGACCAATTAGGTGAAGAGGTCTGCGGAATCACGGCGGTTCCTGAGCTGCTGATCGCTCGGTCGGAAGAAGTGCACATGCAGCCCTCTCTCGGCTCGCTATGGCTATGGTCCAACTTCCTCTTGGAGATCTAAAGTTGCAGGCGGTGAAGTTAGTGCGGATAGAGGGACGCTCTCTCTGACCAGCACAAGAAATCTCGCAGAAGGAGCTTGGAACCCGGTTGCCCTCGCACTGCAGGTTCCGCGCCTGACCATGCGGGCAAATTGTAGGGGGATTCCCTCGAGGCTTTCTCGTAAACTCCCTCAAGGGTGAGCCTTAGAACAAACTGCAGAAGCAAATTCCACTATTGGTGCTCTAGGAATCCACGCATGCCTTTGCACATCCGACAAAGCTGCCTCAGTCAGCCTCACAAACCTGCAAAACCCCCAACGCCCTTCCGATCCCCCTTTCCGCGCACCATGCTGATGTAGCAGCGCAAGTGGAACTTCACCGGCTTGCAGTTTGGAACGCCCCGTGTGAGCACCGTCTCCTGTGACTTCGCCAGGGAGCACAGAATGGAGCCTGAGAGGCAGGGACGGATTCAGGGTGCTATCGTTGGGAAGGGCCTTAAGTGTTAGAATGGGGTTCCTTAAGGGGTCCAATTTAGGGCTCCTTTAAGGGAAGATAGCTGCAGCAAATGGCAGTGGTATGTAGGTTGCCAATCGGCCTTACTTAGGATTTCGGGCTGAGGCTCAGCCACTGTTTTCAGTATCTTATCTGCACATGCAACCATGACTGTGCTACTCCGCGACGCCGTCTGCCTTTTGATCGCTGAAGAAAATCCACGAGACTAGAACCATACCTGACACCCTTGGCCGCACGAGACGTAGTGCCCTGCTTTGCGCTTCCCGTTCTTTCACTTGATGGCCCGCCTGGCTCCACGCTGCTGGGCAGGTGCGCCATACTATTCATGGTGCACCACAGCGGCGTCTGGGTGTCGCCATCCCAGTCTCGGACCTCTGCCACCTGTCATGCTGAGGGGACCGAGCCTAAACCTGACAAGGAACGTTGAGTGCAAAAACCCAGGCCTTTATCCGAGAAAAGCCAATCCGCTGCCAGTCAGCGTTGCTTACATATCCAGTAACTCGCGAATACAGGGAGAGGATCACATCCAGCTGTTCGGGAGGGTTGGTCGGAATCACGGCCACCAAAGGTGTCATTCGCCCCTTGTCACCTCGTCAAGATTCGCACGCGAAGCTCCAAACCATGCATGCGGATCAACCGCATTCTATGTGTAACTTTGAGCAAAACCAAACCCGGGAGAGTAAGAAACACTGAGCACAATCAATTGAATCTTATGGCAGCATGTGTCAACTCTGAGCCAAGATTCCTTGAAAGGTGAACCTGCCTGGGGTAGTTGGATCCTCGTCAGATTCCTTCGACCGCAGCGCCGTCTTCGTCTTCTTGGACTTCACGCCTATCGTCATCTCCAACATCACCTGCATGGCTTCTCTTGGGACTGATATCCTCGGACTCCCGACCCTGGCTGCTCCTACCCCACATCGCCTCGCTGCCGGCACAGCCCGAGACTTCGAAGACGTCCATCAAGAAGTTCTCCACTTTGGAAGGCGGCTCTTCGCAGGGGCCGCCCCTGCGTTTTGGCTCTTGACCCCCGCTGCTTTAAGGAATCGTGCCAAGGGGTGGGCTTTAGCCCGAAGGACGGCAGCAGGTTGAGCAGAACGATGCTCAGCGTGCAGAAAGACAACAGACTCACGTCGGTAGTCTCTTCCAGTGCTAGTCCGGCTGATGACATGACATGGGTACCTTATTTTGGGGTCCATATAATAAGGACCTTACTATTTAGTGTACTACATGGTCGCCTCAGGACTGCTGGCAGCTGCAGCGCTGACATGGACTCGACTTTGTTCACTCTGGCACTGATGAGCAAGCCTTGGTTTAAGCAGGCAAATGTTGTTCATGGCTGAGTTCATTGACAGCAGGGTAAGTCCACCCTGCAATTCTCGTGCATAGAGACAAGGGACGGCCCAAATAGGCGTTTTCTTCCGCTATATCACCAGAGCTGGTAATAGCTTGCACATCCGGAACCTTGGCTGTGTAATTCGCAAATTGCCTCTGCATGTACTGAACAGCCTGAACAGAAAAAGTAATCTGCAGACGGTCGTGACCTCCTCGCTTTTGAAGCCGTAGAAGTTGAACCATTTGGGAGACAGTGCATGCATGCCTCGGCTTTGCAATTGGTTGGGTGACCGCTGGGACACAACTCAACTCGACCTCGCCAAACCTTTGCATCGCATGCAGGACGCGGGTAGTTACAACAATGTTGACGATATCGCGGCAACAAGAAGAGCAGCAACGACGACGGCAACGACGACAACTGGCAGTGGTAGTGGCAGTGGTAGTTGCTGTTGCTGTTGCTGCTGAAGATCTTGTTTTTGCTCTTGTTGTTTTGGTTGTTCTTGGTGGTTTTATTGATGTTGGTGTTGGTGCTGTTGCTGTCGGTGTTGTTGGTGTTGGTGTTGGTGTTGTTGGTGGCGGTGGTGTTGGTGTTGGCGGTGTTGGTGGTGTTGGTGGTGGTGGTGGCGGCGGCGACTACTGCTTCTACACTACACGACTGCCACAACAACTCTACTGCAATACTACTACTGTAGTGTTGCTTAATACTGCTGCTACTACTACTACTACTACTACTACTCCTACTACTACTACTACTCCTACTACTCCTACTACTCCTGCTGCTGCTGCTGCTGCGAAACTGCGTACTGTGAACTGCTACCCACACCTACCACCTACTACATACTACCTACCATGTACTGCCTACGCCTGCTACACCTACTCCTATTCCTACTTCTACTGCTACCGCTACGGCTGCGGCCACGGCTACTGCTACTGGTACCACCACCACTACTACTTCTTCTACTACTACTACTACTACTACTACTGCCACTATTACCACTATTACCACTACCACTACCAGCTCCTACCACTGCGAACCGTATGTTATATTCTTGATTTCGACTCTGCCAGAGCTCTCTAGCTAGCGAAACAACTGCGGCAGAGTTCCTCTTCCCTGACCTAGTGAGTGATACAACTGAGGCTTGTGCGCAGCAGCGAGAATGACAACCGACCTTGCACAATGATCTCGTCACCCATCCACTTGGACGAATCCCAGATTCGGATCACCTTCGGTCCAGTGGGTACAAAGCCGGTAGTATGGGGGCCTTAATAATAATTAAAATAGGGTTTTGGGGCCCATTCTACTGTATTCATAGTAAGGAATCCCCCAAAGTCGTATTGGTAATGCTTTACGCCTACCAGTATCTTGTGAACAGACTCGCCATCCTCCAGAAGGCCTTTGGCCTGCCTTTCACAGAACCAAGCCACGATCGAATCTTGGAACAGCGGCGTTGTAACGGGAATCCGAAACTGTTCGTCGAAGGCCTGAGTTCTTCGAAGGCCGACTTCCAAGCTCTAGGTTCCTCACAGCAGCGCCTTGAGACTGCTGACGAGATGCGAGCGTATGCGTGTCCCGAGCAGCCGGACTCCGCAATTCATGGCCGTTGAACTCTACCTCACTTCATAGCTGGCTGTGGAAGAAGATCCCACAGTATCGATTAGTTCTCCGAACTTGGCCGAACTTGCAGCGGAGACTCGGAGACGTAAGGATTGTACCTGGCAGACTCGGCATGAGCCATTCTGCTGTCTCTCGCAAGGCTGCTTACAAAGCTTGCACAACCTTACGGTTCTCACTCAAGCGCTACGCCTCCAGCTTCAACCATCTTATACCCCAGGATGATGGAGCATAAAAGCCCGAATCTCTGAAAAGCGCACCTAGTTAAAATCCTGTCCGCAAGGAACGGTGTTGGATCTTTAGGTCACTTCGGACCTGTGAAGCTCTCTGCACACATCTTCAGGCAAGCTGCGTCTTCTCACCGCCACCAAGATGTTCAGCACGGTGCACTTGCACGAAAAGATGATAAAATTGATCTTGGATCACGTCGGGAAAAAACGCCCGGAAGATATCTAGGCGAAGCTCAACTTGCAGCTTGGAGTCTGAACTGGTTCTTGTTTCCTGTGTCTCCAATCACGGCGGCCGTCAAGTCATTGAGATGTGCCTCCACCTCCTCCTGCGAAGGATCCAGGCCGAGCACAGTATCTTCGCGACGGTATCTTCGAGGCGACGTTCATCAAACTCTTCTGCGGGCCTTGTTGTCTTGAGCATCATCCGGAGCCGGAGGCTTGTCGCCCTGCGCCAAATTGGAGACTGAGGAAAAAATCGAACATGTCCTGTCTCTTTCTCTCTGCCTATCTCTCACTCTCAACATCTAACAAGCTGCATCCCTGTGCATTATGCTTGACTTTCCTATAGTTGTCGACTTCGAGGGCAGACACGAAGGCCTCTCCGTAGCAAAACACAGTGACCGTCAGCTTGGAGGTGAGCTTGTGCTCCAGAGTCAGCTGTATCCTGTACTCGGGCTTCGTGGCAACAAGACAGCAGTTTGGTTCTGGCCGAGTTTGCAGACGAGATGCTGCTTCCGCACGTAGGTATGGTTGGGTCGCTGCCTGACCATGGCCAATTGCACCTGAAGTGTACTGGGCCCAGGGCGAAGCGGCACGCAGATAAACAGGCTGAAGAATGGTGCCTTGAACACCTGAATAGCTTACACTTACCTCTACCCCATAACAACCCTGATGCAGCCTGACTTACCGAGTCTAGGCACCTTCCCAGTGCCTAGCACTGTGTTCCTGGTGAAGATGTTGGCGGCCTAGCACAGACCCAGCAAGGCTTTGGGTGTGAAAATCCTCTGTTCCGTAAGTCACTGGGACTCGGAAAAAAGCTGTAAGCCTTCTTTGGCCAAAGCCTTCCCCTTTGCATTTAAATCTCAGCTTCCGGCATCTGACTGCTCTCTCTCGCATGCAAAGCAGACTTATCAGAAAAGAGCGATTGGGGGCTCTATCTTTTCGTATGATTCTCGACAATAGTCCCCGATAGTCCGACTCCTGAACTGCGATGGATGCGACTGCGTCCTTACATTTTTACAACATTCAAGAGGCTCGTGGAGAAAGAGAAGGCCTGCAGTTCAAACTCAATACACGCCATGTTGAACTCTGTCTCCGTGATATAGAAGTCATTCCAGATGTAAGACCTGAAGGTGTGGCTTGAACCGATCAGGAACAGCCTGGATGGCGCAGCGGTTGCTTGACGCCATTGCGCTGACGTCTGAAGTAATCAGCAATCAGTTGCAAGAAACGGTCACGAGTTCCTGCGCAGAAAGCCCAAACCTCAGCTGTACCTGCTTTGCAGTCCAGCCGCTCCTCGAACTTGCAATGCTGGATCTTCCCGCTTTTCATTGCAGTCTTGTACTCCTGCCAGTCTGCGACGGGCACTTCCAAAATTCAACCCTCCAGTGCAAACCTGAACACGATCCCTTGCTCAGACTGCGCCGGCATTCTCAAGAGACTTCTGTCACGGCAGAATGGAGCTGCACTTCTCAACCCCCTCATCAGTCCTTTCCCAAACACCGGACTACCTCAGCACCAGTCACCAAGACAAGGTCATATGCTTGTAACAAGCTTGCACCTTCGAGGCCATTCCAAAGACATACAAGAGCGAACCAGTTGTGCGCATCAGGGATTGCCCAAGTTTACATCGGTGGGTTGCTCAAAGGTCGCGCTACTGTGGCGTTTTTTGGGTGCATCGTTGCGTATGCAGCAAGATGCCGGGTAGGATACGAGTTTTGCGCACGTCCCTAAAGCCTGACATTGCTCTGTGGGTGCATGCAAGGCTGGTCCTCCCGACGAGGCTCAACTCAGCTCATGTGGTGTGATTCCGTTTTCGATGTGAATTGATGTGAATTTGAAAGCCTGCAAAGGCATGGATTGCACGGCTGCTCTGAAGGAGATCAGAAACTTCTCCTGAGCATGTCAGGAAAGCCAAATCGTAGGTGAGACATGGAAACACCCCCAAGCACCCAAGCGCCCATGAACCCCTTGCCTGGGGGAATGACTGGATACCGGGAAACCCTTGGAAGCTAGCTAAACAGCGAGGAACGACCAGAGGATCGACGGCTGTTCCGTCCTGGCTCACCAAGGCGATACTGTGATGCCCTGATATAGATGTGTGTGTATATATATATATATCTGTTTATTTGTCTATTTATTTATATATGCGTGTATGTATTCTTGTAATCTGTTGTGTTCTACATTAATGAACAATTGAACGAATAGCATATACGCATTTTGATAGATAAGGTTGCAAAAGCATTTGTCCTGTCTGGCTGGACTAGACAAGCCAATCGCTGCAGCTAACAGAGCCCAGGCCCACTTCCTGTGGCAGGATTATTCCACCGGGCTCTCGAGCTTCCCGATCGCAAACTCAGAATAGGAGCAACCACTCGGCTGAAAACCTAAGGCAGCATCATCAGTCCCAGGTTAGAGAGTTGTAATCGTACTTCGGCCAATACCTGCGACATATCGAACACAAGGTGCGAGAGGAGCTTCGTACGAAAGTTTCAGATTTCGAACTACTATTCTTGTTAGTTAGCCTTCTGTCTGCAAACATACAACTATATAAGTTCGCACAGAGTACTTTGAGACTAGTTTGTACACTTAACGCGCCATAGAACTTAACGCGTTTGTAGGCTATGGCAGTACAAGCTTTGCAAAGAAGACCTTATGGTGCTGGCAATTTATGCAACGGTCATGCAGAAAGTCCTGGCTGAGCTCTTTTGCATCATGGACTGTGAAGCCGCAGATGTACTTCTTCTTTGTGCCTGTAATTCTGCAAAACTCAAGCACTCATGCGGGCAGGAGCACACCTCTCTCCACTCCACGCCGAACTGTCGATGCTCTGGCCTTCAAGGAACCAGACAAATTCTGAGCAAGCTACTATCGATGGTTGCCATGTCCAGCACTCGCTCCGTCAGGCCCCGCCGGCCTCTCCATGACTGAACGGAGACAGAAAGGCGTGGGCAGGATTGAGGGTTGTAGCATTCCAGGTTACTGATCACGAAAACAGGAAACAAGGCCACACGTGTTGACAATCATCACAGTAGAAGAAGCAGCACGCGACTCGGCACATCCAACATCAACACAGGTTAGTCATCGTTGCCATCGTGGTCGCAGCAGTTGGCAGCACTAACAGTAGCACTAGCAGTAACAGCGGCAGCAGCAGCAGCAGGATGAGGAGGAGGAGCAACAGGGGAGGAGGGAGGAGGAGTCGGAGTGGTAGGAGTAAGACTGGTCGTCGTCGTCGTAGTGGCAGGTCATGATATTGAGTAGCAGTAGCAGAAGGGGGAGGAGGAGCAGGAGGAGGAGGTGGTGGAGGGGCGTGGTCGTGGTAGTCGTCGTCGTGCTGGTGCTGGTGCTGGTGGTGGTGCCGCTGGTGCGGCTTGTGCTGCCGGTGCTGGTGTTGCTGGTGGTTCTGGTGGTGGTGGTGGTGGTCGTCGTCCACGTAGTCACGCAGCAACAGTAAAAGCAGCACGAGCAGCTTGATGTGCAGCCATGAGCCGTCACAAGTTCTAAGGCGGTCAACAGTCACTGCGATGGTTGCGAGGCTGCTCCTACACCGCTAGAGAACCGAGGCAGTGACCTGGATAACGGGATGCTGATGTTTTAATCTTCAGCTGTTGGACCAGGAGCTGCGCAACGTGAACTTCCAGCAACTCCCATCAAGTTGCGGTTGGCAAAGGCGGCCTGTGAATCAATCGCTGCACGAATCGCTGTGGAGCTAGGCGGCAGCGATTCGGTCCATTAACAGGCTTCCCATGGTCCATGAAGCCCCAATCCAGTCGACGGGTAACACATGTGAGCACAGTGCAGATGCGCATGAATGGTTTGATTCAGCGCGGCAGGTCTGTGAGGCGCAAATATCCGTGAACGCTGCAGATGATGCTAGGTCCAAGGTTGAAGGCCCGCATCGGTAAGCTGTCCTAACAGTTCAGGTACATTATCTTTGGGCCAAGATGCCAACGCAAGGCAGACTCAACTTCGCCTCTCAAACCTCTTCCTTTTCAAACTCACAAGCCGCGAAATTCTGGTCTGGCTCTCTGCGTGCAAAAGCTCTCAAACTCGATTAAGGTGAATTGCATTACATTACACAGCCCGAAAGACCACATATAGAAACGACACCCATCCAGGGTTGCCGTTCATGGAGGTTTATCCCCCCGATGCTACCGCTGGGTGTCTTGTGCAATGCTCCAAAGATACTCAGGTTGTAGCATGGAACTCACGGCACCCCGATGCACTATCAGGCATCGTGTGCCCGTCTCGTGCATTCCCTCGCCCCGCCCTCCGTTCCCTGAGGCCCCTCGCAATACCACACAAGATTGCGGCCGCTCCTCAGGATCGTGATGGTTTAGGGTTTGGGGTTTAGGGGTCTAGGGTGTAGAGTTTCTCCACTGAACGCAGGAGCCATTGGAGTTGGAAGCTGGAGGATACAAGGCTTCTCAGGTCACGAGCTTCTTGGTCACCCTGGTGCGGCTTTCTCCGGAATCTCAGCTGTAACTGACAAGACATTTCAAAACCGGCGCTCCCGGCCCCGGCCGATGAAGCAGAAGATGACAGATAGCTAGAGACTCGAGACCAGGCATTTGCATGGCACACACTCCCGTAGCAGTACTGACATTGCCGTCCTGTCCTTCCTGGAGGAAGTAGGAGAAACACATCCTGAACTAGTTCTCTGTCCTTTGTCGTCGGAATGCGGCCTGAAGTGCAACGATGCTCTGTTGTTTAGAAAAATCTTGAGGGCCCTCCTCCTTCCCCCTGGTCCTTGGGTCCTTCTAGATCCTTAGATGCAAGTTAAGATTTGCACACCTAGACCTGAAGGTCCTGAGAGCGACCTGGAATTTACCCGTCTGCGCTCCTTCCATGAGCTCCAGCGCCCGATTCAAAGGTCGATTCCTCTTGGGCCTGGCAATCGGGAGTTTCCGAAAACAAGGGTTACCTTATTTTGGGGTCCTTATAATGAGGATCCTACCATTCAGGGTGCTATATTAGGGTCCCTGATTTTCGGGAACCCCCAATCCGTTTGCCAGAGCTGAAAGCTGGTGTAGGGCTCAGGGTTTGCTAAAAGTCCGATTCCGCAAACAATGTGGAACTGCTTAGTGCTGCATTCTCGCGCGCGCGCACGCTCGACGGGAGGTTCCCGTGACACAGGTCGCACAGATTGTGCTCATATCCGATTAGTTGCACATGATCCTGTCGGGCACCGTGAATCGGAAAGCAAGGTCCATTGCAGAGTCATGCATTTGCCTCATTTCTGTCTCGCAATGTTTGAGTCGTGCACGCACTTCAGGAAAGCATGTTGGCCGTGCTGGTCAATCCGGCTGGTGTATGGGTGTGGTCCCGGCCGTGAACTCGCTACGAAAGCATTTTGGCCGTGGTGTCCTAATGGTCTGTCTCCCTAATCTGCTGGTTGTCTCTCCGATGGTCCGTGTCGTGGTCGACATGGTCGTCGGTGTGCTCTTTCACAGTTAGGGGATCTACGGAGGCATACATACTTCGACCAACTACGATGGGTCGAGTAGCCTTGCTATTCCAACCTTGATGGGTGTGACCATTTAGCAGTCGTCATCGTGGTTGTTGGTCTTAGCATCAGCAGCATGAGGATTGGTGTTATGATTTTGAATTTCTGTTGGCGTGATCAACTTCTGCTACTTACTTCCTTGCTGTTGGCGCTTATGACAGGAACCATATAGCATTTTGGTATCATGGCGACTTGTTAGTTGACTGACCACCATCACCATTGTTGGGTAGCAGGATGATGATGCTGATGATGATGTGATGATGATTTGATGAGTCTAGCCCTAGCTGCGACCATTTCGAGAGCAACGCTCGGCACTGTCTACGACACGAGTCCCGAATTCTGCGGTGCTGTCTCAACGGATCCCAGTGACTGCTAAAGTTTTACACCTCCTGCTCCCGTCCCCTGCCCGAGAAACTAGATCCTTAAGAGTCGAAAGAAACTAGATCCTTAAGAGTCGAAACAAGTCTTCGGATGACCCGGTCGTCTGAGGCAAGCTGATCTGGCTGTAGCGAATCTGCCTGCAGAATCAGCCGTCGAGGCTGAGCAGCACTTCGTCTAGATCGTACTTCCAGCAAGTTGTCATGAGTCCGAAACTTTACAGCATGAGTCCTCCTGGCCCAAGCTTCTGGTATGCCCGCCCCTTGACCGTCGGCTACCAAGTATCTTTCGCGAAGAGCAGTCGTCAGACTCTGATTTGTCAAATTAGTGGCCTTCCATCCAGGCTCGTCGGCTGGAGGCCACTGCTACTCTCCAGCATCATCTGCAGCTTCGATGGGTGCCTCTGCGTGTTCCGGATATTGACTCTCGGCTATGCTGGGCTACATTCAGCTGCAACTCCCGTTGCCTGCTTAGACTGGTACACCAAAGATTCCGACTGCAGCTGAAGGTCCCCAACACGTGTAATCATCTGCAGTCTAGTATATATATATATCACATCATAGCACCGTGTTATAGTACAGTATAGCTTACTATCTTCTATAATATGTGGAGCGCAGAAGAGCAACTTTCATCAGTGGAGGTACCGGAACTCAGCAAGAACCGGCCCCATGGGCCGCTGCAGGGCTGCAAGAGTGCTTCATATGATACCGTTCATGATATGACATGGTATACTATACTCTAAGATAACCCACATCATATAACATACTATAATGTAAATAATATAGTAGAGTGGACTATAACAGAATGTAGAAAGTCTTATACAATAACCACCACACCATGAATTAGAAAACTCTAGTGGGACCTGAGATCGGCACCCAGGCTCCTGACCGGCCAAGCTGTCGGGGACCTGTCGGCACTCGGACTGCGAGAGGGATGTGCCATGTGATGTTATATCATATTGCATTACATCAAACTATATCGTATCAAACTATATAATGTCACACTACATCATGTCATACTGTATTATAACAGACTGATATCATACTAGAAGCATAACATATCATTAGATCTTATGTTGTAGTATAACATCTTGTACCATCTGGTATTTTATTCTCTTTTGCATACTATACTGGTATCGTATAGCATATGACAGCTGCGATGGGGTTCCCCAGAGGGGCATCGCGTGGCAGAAGGGTGTCCAGTCTTCCGTCTGGCAATCGCAGTTGACCCCGCTGGTGATGCAAATGATTTTCCATGCATGGCAGCATAATGCAGGGGCCTTCATAATTAGAATAGAGTTTTGGATAATGCATTAAAAAAAGGAATCCCCCAAAATAGTATAGGCAATAGTTTAGGCCCTGTTCAGCCCTCTAAACTTTGCATCGCCTGGCGAGGCCCGGAAGGATTTGAGAGACCCCAGTACTCCATGGCGCTTGCAGGCTCCGCTGTTCTTCGAGTTGCTCTTCCATGCAGGCTTGTCACCATCGTGTGGCTGCGGCTGCACATGAGCTTGGCACTGCAATGTCAATGGCACCGGTCAATCATGTGGTGACGGCGCAGGCATGCATGAGAGCCTTTCAAGCACATGGGCCATGCAACAGCTCGTTTCATCAGTCAAAGCTAAGGAGCCAAAAGAAATAGCCCGCGAAGTTGAAACTACAATCGGCCACATGGCGCAAACTTCCCTTGTGCCAGCACACCGGCAGAGGAGAGACAAAAAGAGCGAGAGAGACATGGAGAGCAAGAAAAGGCAAATCAAAACCGTGAGACAGAGACAGGCGCAACCCAAGTCGGCTGTGCTCGCAGTTGTGGCTCAGATGGTCGGGCAGCGAAGCCGACCCCAATCTGTCAAAGCAAGTCAATCAACCTACAAACACCTTCTGCCAAATGGGTGTCAAGCCCCAGCATCGCAAATGCAATCCAGACCCGTTGCGTGCCTCGAAAGGCTTTGCATGGCACATCACCATAGTCTGCTTTGGCTCTGAAAGCCATCCGTTAAGTTTATGTACAATGCCACGAACATGTGTGACCGGTCAAGACAAGTTGCGACAGTAGCCTCTGAGTTGCTATGCAGTCTCTTTGCTGCTACTTCCACCGGTCTCACACATGTGCCTGAAGGAAGCCCGAGGAAGGTGCCAGGGGTCACCTCTTGTGACGGAGCAGCCCTCCCGAGAGTTCAGTGAGTCCTTCTTTGGTCATCCCTGAAGCGGCAGTGGCTCCGACAAACGAGGCGCTTTGTTGCTGCTTGACTCATCAGCAAAGGATACCCTCTTTCGCCAGTTCCTCAGGACAGGAAAGCAAGGCCACCGATCTACTGAGCTTTGACATGTCTCAATCATCGATCCAGATGCGATCTTCTAATTGTATGTTGAGCATATACTGTATTGTACTATAGTAAACCATAGAACGCTAGAGTTTGCACTACTATCATATATTATATTGTACTATAGTCTATCAGAACATATCATGTACTATAGTATACTTAATATCTCTATAACATAATATGGCACCTTCCGTGTTGCTGTTGGTGCCAGTCCTACAAGCTGCTGCGAGCACAGGGCCCCCGGGCTTCAGCAGCGGACTTCGACTCTGGGTCGCCTCAGCCCAGAGGCCGACAGGAATTTACAAAAATACTACATTTATTGATACTTTTTTAGTACATTCTAGAATATTTTGGTACAGTTTTAATACAGTCTAGTAGAATATCGTATAGCTGATTATAGGCTTTCGGTACTTCTCCATGGTATACTCTAATATCTTATGGTAGCTTAATGCATAATGTGCTGTATCATATTCTGATACGTTTCCAGTGAAGTTTACAGTGAGTGCCAATGATTGAGGACTGCACTGTCCAGGAACTGCCGGGTGGTGGCTGTGACCCACCTGCGAAGCAGCTCACCATCGATACGCTCTTGCGCTACCGAAAAAGGGGCTCAGTAGGCTGAGTTTGAAGACTCTGCTGCCTCATGTCTGCCGAGGTTCAATTCACAGTATCTCCCTTGACTATTGTCAGCTCAAGCGAAACAAAAAAGATTCTGCTACCATGGCGGTGGCACCACTGCAGCGCTCGCACGCGCCTTCCTTCGTAGCAGCTTGCGCGGTGGTAGCCGCCTGTGCTTTTGCTTGCTTGATCAGGGTGAAACAGCTGCTGAATTCAACCAAATTTCCCAGACGAGAGCGGGAGAGAGGCAGAGAGAGAGAGAGAGAAGCAGAAAGACTAACGCCCGTCCACACAGATATAGAGGGAGCGTAAGCTGATTCCTCGCATACATGCACAGAAACCCTACATAAATAACACTAGTTCGACTTCTGCTACACATCTTCAGCGGTTCAACTAAACTGAAAATCGGCCCATGCCAACGGCACTGTGTGCCCCTCAGGTGTCTTCACCGGGACGAAGGCCAGAGTGGCTCCACTGGACACTACATGGACATACATCAGTAGACATATACAGGAACATACCCAGACATAAGCATTCAGACATGAAAATGCACACACAGATACATAAACGTAAACATGCGCACACACGCAGAGTAATGCATGCGCGCAGACAGACGGAAAGCCATTTGGACAAAAAAGCTGCAGGCACAGACAGACAGACAGACAGACAGACAGACAGACAGACGGGCAGAGAGATATACAAGTACATGGATAATTACTAGGCAGACAAACAGGCCAGCGTCTGTGTGTCTCTGTCCCTGTCTCTGGCTCTGTCGCTCTCTCTCTTTGCTTTCTTTTGCTCTGGGACCAGGAGAAAGCGCAGTCCCCTTTCCCCGCTCTCGTGAGCAGCCCCTCTCTCTCTCTCTCTCTCTCTCTCTCTCTCTCTCTCTCTGTCTGTCTGTCTGTCTGTCTGTCTGTCTGTCTGTCTGTCTGTCTGTCTGTCTGTCTGTCTCTCTCTGTCTCTAAGTACGACATACACATGTACTATATATATATATATATATATATATGTATACAAACAACTAAATATAAATACAAACCTAAAAATAGATGTAAACATACGTACATATATATATATATATAGGTACGTATATATGGTAACCCTCCCCCCCAAGAACTACCCACCTTATATGCATATGTATATATATATATATATATATATATATATATATATATGTATTTATAGATAATGTACAGAACGGTCGATCGTGGGGCCTGCGTTTATATGTATATAACAATAGATATGTATGGGTGCGCGCACACACACATATGTATGTATGTATGTATGTATGTATGTATGTATGTATGTATGTATGTATGTATGTATATATATATATGTAATAGGGGGCTGCAGAGAGAGAGAGAGAGAGAGAGAGAGAGAGAGAGAGAGAGAGAGAGAGAGAGAGAGTGTGTGTGTGTGTGTGCGCGGAAGGGAGAAGAAGTGGGAGAAAGAACAAACATATTCCCTGCTCTTGCTCCTGTGACCGCAGGCCTGGGCATTGAAATCATAGAGCAGCTTGCAAAGGCCAGTGCCCAAGTTGATCGTGGAGCCCATGATGATGCACCTGTTGCCATGCCAGAATGCCGATCGCAGGCAGCAATGCGAAACGGATGCTTGCCCGTTCCAGAGCATGTGAATCCCGATCGAGCAACCCCTGGATTCTTGTGGTACTGATGTGGAGCCTTGCAACCAGCTTGGAATGTCTCCTGCTTCGAGGCAACACTTTAAAAAGCACGGCATCTCTCCGCGACATGTTGCAGGGACAGGCTGTCTCTGCAGATGCTTGTCTGCCTTCATCTATGTCTCTATTCTGCTGAACAGTACAATGCACAAGAAGGCAGGTCAGTCTGTCAGCAGCTGCGGTTTCAACCATGGCCTGGTGCTTCATGTGCTTGGCACCCCTTTCTATCCCACACCCCACACATCCGATCTGAGGCGGGCACTCGCTGACGCCCTTCACGGGGTCCACACGGCTGCGCGCTGCAGCATCGAAGACAAGGTCCGTGGTCCGCTCAAAGGACGCCAGCCTTCTACTTACGAAGACAACGGTAGGCTGGCTTTCGTGTGATTTTGGGTGTCACGCGTTGCAGCACATAAGCTGCTTGGGCCTTTTGCAGGGTATGGTGTTTCTTAGCGCATCCCGATTCCCGTAGCTGTGCAACGATGGACCAGTTGGATGTGCCAAGATGCATCAGAGCCGATGTTCGCATTCGGCTTATGCCGAATCGGTTGATGCCCAGCACCTTGCAGCAGGGTCGTGCTCCGGAAGCCTTCGTTCGTGAGGCTCAGACTAGTCACTGCGCCAGACTTGGATGTGTGTCCGGAACATGAAGTAGAAGCTTGTATGTGCAAGGTCGCATATGAAGTGAAAGGTGCAGACTGCCAAACTAAGCCAATCGCCGCTCCTCGGTACGTCATGCAGTCACCGAGCATCTGGATATGCCGCGCCTGCCAGTCATGCCCACGGCAAGAGTCTGCATCAGCCCCTACACTGCAAGCTGCACAGCAGGCTCTGGGGATGTGGCATCCACTGAAATTCCATGTGCGCCCAACCTGAGTGCAAGAACCAGGTGGTTCCTCTGTGCTTATCGGATCATGCTGAGTCTTCTGGAAGTCAGGACCCTATAATGCCAGAAGCTCGACTGCAACGTCGAGTGTCAAGAAGTTCCACCTTTGCGATATGCTTCTTCGACATGTGCATATATACTTCTACCGATTGTGCAACAACTCACGTATGACAGTTTGTCACAATAGCAAGAGACTGTGAAAAAAAACAACACAGCAGTATCTATGTATGCCTTTTCGTCATATATAACAACACGTAGTAGTTTAGGGGGCGGTCATTGTCAAGGGCGAGGGCTCTGCAGCCCAGCTGCGTAACTTTGATCTCCTGCATGATGGTGCGACGAGCTGCCTCGATCCCAAGCACCTGCAACTGCAGCTTGCTCTTGATTCTCCTTCCCTCCTATGCTTTAAGGGTTCCTTTAAGGTTCCATACAGGTTCCTTTCAGGGGTTCCTGGTCCTTTGTTCTGGCGCACTCCCTTGAGAACCCAGTCGCTCCAGGGAGTAGGGCTGCAGGTTTGGGCCTTGCAGTCGTTTGTCTGTGGGATCTTTGGCGGATCAGACTTTGACTGTCGCCTTGGCCTCGGTGACGTAAGCACTGACTTTCAAATCAGTGGGTACCAGATTCGAGAGAGTCTCCTACAATGAAAGGAGTTCGAGGAATCCCAAAGCTGTGTCGCAGTGCCGGCGGACCTTCTCCACCTCCACAACATGGTTGGAGCTGGTCTTGTTGGGGTTAATCCCGGGCGTTCCCATGACCTTGAGCTTGGACATGCTGAGACTGCTGTGGGACTTCTGTGACTGCCACGCATGGTAGAGTGTCGGATTGACCGTCAAACTGCGTCGGCAGAGTATCCAACCTCCCGCAAGCCGTAGCCTTCGACGAGCAGGCTGTAGGAAACCTGCAGGGCATGCAGATCCTGCAATGGTCACAGGCTCCAGGCAACGCCGTTTGCAAGAGCTTTTCTGTGATTCGAGAGCACCTTGTCGCCAACTTCCTTCTTGTTGAGGACGGAGCGCTTGGTAGAGGGGATTCCCTGCCCGACCGCTTGAGGCAGAGACTGCTCTGACATTGCACCCTCTACTCTAAGATTTGCCGCACTCCGTGTAAATTTCACACGTGCAGCATGAACGGCAATGCCTGTAAGGGTTGTTCGAACTCAATCAGCGAACACAGATGACACCGGCGGCATCGAGCACTGGGACTCGTCTGGCCGTCTTGGACCCACGAGACAGCCGGCAAGCCGGCCTTCACACAACGCCTGACCCTGAGTCAGTCGCAGTCCCGCATGCCTGCCCCTGAGTTGGTGACCAAAACTGTTGCGGGCATGATTTTGATTTTCATGCTACAGCTATCTTTTCTTCGGAGAAGGCTCCGCTCTGGGCATGTCGTTCTAGATACAAGTTGGGAACTTCAGAATACAAAGGGTCCGAACACAGAACATCACAGATCCCAAATAACACGATGGAGCCTTGTTAAAACAAACCGATTCCGGGATACCTACAGTACTTTCTGGCAACCTGACGCTAGACCCAAAAATTGTAAACAGTTGTGCCGAAGTTCGGCCGTAATTCGTTTGCCCGGTTGTTTTATCCCGAAGCGAGAGGCCGGCATCAGGCCTTGACAACCGCCTTTGGCAGCGCCGCCTTCAAGGCCTGCTTCGCAACAGCGCGTGCTCACAATACATCTGTAATTACATACACATAGATGTACGCGTACACATACATATGCATCAACACCTACAGGCGCAGGTACAGGTACAAGTATATACGTATGTGCATGTGTCTGCGTATGTGTGTGTGCGTGTGTGCATATGTAGATACACATATTAGCTCATACAATTTGTATGTATGTATGTATGTATGTATGTATGTGTATATATATATATGTGCATATGTGCACCCGTATGTTCTTGTCATGCATGCATAAGTGACTACATGGATGGATGCGAACTGTTGAAATATCACTAACATGCAGATATGTGCTCTCCGCTGTTGCGCAGATACAGACATGCCTGCATGCTCGCGCATGGTCTAGCAGGAGGCAAGGCTTGACCCTTCAACTGGCCCTAAACCCTACACCCTCCACAAACGACAGATAGAGCTAAACCCTGAAACCCTGCAGAAACCCCAGAGAGCTGGGCCTGAAGAGAGAAGTACAACATCTTGTTGTTCGCTGTCATTTTTGGAGGCTTCACTCGCAGCTTGTCCACCTTCCGAGAGGATTGCAAAAATTATCCGACAGAGGTGCGGCTGTTGCTTAGGGTGTATTGGGTTTTGCTCTGACAGAGAATTTCCATGCATTTGCGATCATGCGTGCCATGGTCAGCAAGCCCAGGTCTCATCATCTGCTCGGCTTCTTGTCAGTGAGTGCCGGATCCACCCCACAGGAATGCCACACAAGCCACCAAAGACCATCGTCATACATCACTTGAGAAGAGGGCCACGAAAGCTAGGGGAGAGGAAGCGTAGCTGCGAGCAATTGGGGGCGGCCCCTCCTCCCCCCCACCCCCCACCTTAACTCTTGGACGTCCCACCTGATAAGGTGTAAGCCCTGGTTTTGCCCTAGTGCCTTAATACAAGGTAAACCAAGTGAAAATTGCTAAAGGGCAACTCCCGCGAGCTCAACAGAGCTAGCTTTCGTGATAAAGCAACCATTTGGCATGTGGCAGCCCTCAGAAAATCCATGCTGGCAGAAATCAGGCATCTTCACCAGTTGCTTTCGGAGGATTACGACAAAGACATCCCTGAGCTCAGCATACACACTTGCAACATGCACGCCTCGGGCGACATCGAACAAGCTCCACAACCGCAAACGGTCCCGAGCCCCCACACGACGCGACACGAACCATTTGGCATGTGGCAGCCCTCAGAAAGTCCATGCTGGCAGAAATCAAAGGCATCTTCACCATTGCTTTCGGAGGATTACGACAAAGACATCCTTGAGCTCAGCAAACACACTTGCAACATGCACGCCTCGGGCGACATCGAACAAGCTCCACAACCGCAACCGGTCCCGAGCCCCCACGTAATGCGACACGAACCATTTGGCATGTGGCAGCTCGCAGAAAATCCATGTTGGCAGATATCAAAGGCATCTTCACCACTTGCTTTCGGAGGACTACGACAAAGACATCCCTGAGCTCAGCATACACACTTGCAACATGCACGCCTCGGGCGACATCGAACAAGCTCCACAACCGCAACCGGTCCCGAGCACCCACACGACGCGACACGAATCATTTGGCATGCGGCAGCCCTCAGAAAATCCATGCTGGCAGAAATCGAAGGCATCTTCACCAGTTGCTTTCGGAGGATTACGACAAAGACATCCCTGAGCTCAGCAAACACACTTGCAACATGCACGCCTCGGGCGACATCGAACAAGCTCCACAACCGTAACCGGTCCCGAGCACCCACGTAATGCGACACGAACCATTTGGCATGTGGCAGCCCTCAGAAAATCCATGCTGGCAGAAATCAAAGGCATCTTCACCAGTTGCTTTCGGAGGATTACGACAAAGACATCCCTGAGCTCAGCATACACACTCGCAACATGCACGCCTCGGGCGACATCGAACAAGCTCCACAACCGCAACCGATCCCGAGCCCCCACGCGACGCGACACGAACCATTTGGCATGTGGCAGCCCTCAGAAAATCCATGCTGGCAGAAATCAAAGGCATCTTCACCATTGCTTTCGGAGGATTACGACAAAGACATCCCTGGGCTCAGCATACACACTTGCAACATGCACGCCTCGGGCGACATCGAACAAGCTTCACAACCGCAACCGGTCCCGAGCCCCCACGCGACGCGACACGAACCATTTGGCATGTGGCAGCCCTCAGAAAATCCATGCTGGCAGAAATCAAAGGCATCTTCACCAGTTGCTTTCGGAGGATTACGACAAAGACATCCCTGAGCTCAGCATACACACTTGCAACATGCACGCCTCGGGCGACATCGAACAAGCTCCACAACCGCAACCAGTCACGAGCCTGCACGCGACGCGACACGAACCATTTGGCATGTGGCAGCCCTCAGAAAATCCATGCCGGCAGAAATCAAAGGCATCTTCACCAGTTGCTTTCGGAGGATTACGACAAAGACATCGCCGGGCTCAGCATACACACTTGCAACATGCACGCCTCGGGCGACATCGAACAAGCTTCACAACCGCAACCGGTCCCGAGCCCCAACGCGACGCGACAAGACTCATTTGGCACGCGGCAGCCCTCAGAAAATCCATGCTGGCAGAAATCGAAGGCATCTTCACCAGTTGCTTTCGGAGGATTACGACAAAGACATCCCTGAGCTCAGCAAACACACTTGCAACATGCACGCCTCGGGCGACATCGAACAAGCTCCACAACCGCAACCGGTCCCGAGCCCCCACGTAATGCGACACGAACCATTTGGCATGTGGCAGCCCTCAGAAATCCATGCTGGCAGAAATCAAAGGCATCTTCACCAGTTGCTTTCGGAGGATTACGACAAAGACATCCCTGAGCTCAGCATACACACTCGCAACATGCACGCCTCGGGCGACATCGAACAAGCTCCACAACCGCAACCGATCCCGAGCCCCCACGCGACGCGACACGAACCATTTGGCATGTGGCAGCCCTCAGAAAATCCATGCTGTCAGAAATCAAAGGCATCTTCACCATTGCTTCCGGGCTCAGCATACACACTTGCAACATGCACGCCCCGGGTGGCAGCCCTCAGAAAATCCATGCTGGCAGAAATCAAAGGCATCTTCACCAGTTGCTTTCGGAGGATTACGACAAAGACATCCCTGAGCTCAGCATACACACTTGCAACATGCACGCCTCGGGCGACATCGAACAAGCTCCACAACCGCAACCGGTCCCGAGCCCCCACGCGACGCGACACGAACCATTTGGCATGTGGCAGCCCTCAGAAAATCCATGCTGGCAGAAATCAAAGGCATCTTCACCACTTGCTTTCGGAGGATTACGACAAAGACATCCTTGAGCTCAGCAAACACACTTGCAACATGCACGCCTCGGGCGACATCGAACAAGCTCCACAACCGCAACCGGTCCCGAGCCCCCACGTAATGCGACACGAACCATTTGGCATGTGGCAGCTCGCAGAAAATCCATGCTGGCAGAAATCAAAGGCATCTTCACCAGTTGCTTTCGGAGGATTACGACAAAGACATCCTTGAGCTCAGCAAACACACTTGCAACATGCACGCCTCGGGCGACATCGAACAAGCTCCACAACCGCAACCGGTCCCGAGCCCCAACGCGACGCGACACGACTCATTTGGCACGCGGCAGCCCTCAGAAAATCCATGCTGGCAGATATCAAAGGCATCTTCACCAGTTGCTTTCGGAGGATTACGACAAAGACATCCTTGAGCTCAGCAAACACACTTGCAACATGCACGCCTCGGGCGACATCGAACAAGCTTCACAACCGCAACCGGTCCCGAGCCCCAACGCGACGCGACAAGACTCATTTGGCACGCGGCAGCCCTCAGAAAATCCATGCTGGCAGAAATCAAAGGCATCTTCACCAGTTGCATTCGGAGGATTACGACAAAGACATCCCTGGGCTCAGCATACACACTTGCAACATGCACGCCTCGGGCGACATCGAACAAGCTTCACAACCGCAACCGGTCCCGAGCCCCCACGCGACGCGACACGAACCATTTGGCATGTGGCAGCCCTCAGAAAATCCATGCTGGCAGAAATCAAAGGCATCTTCACCAGTTGCTTTCGGAGGATTACGACAAAGACATCCCTGAGCTCAGCAAACACACTTGCAACATGCACGCCTCGGGCGACATCGAACAAGCTCCACAACCGTAACCGGTCCCGAGCACCCACGCGACGCGACACGAACCATTTGGCATGTGGCAGCCCTCAGAAAATCCATGCTGGCAGAAATCAAAGGCATCTTCACCAGTTGCATTCGGAGGATTACGACAAAGACATCCCTGGGCTCAGCATACACACTTGCAACATGCACGCCTCGGGCGACATCGAACAAGCTTCACAACCGCAACCGGTCACGAGCCCCCACGATCCCCCACGCGACGCGACACGAACCATTTGGCATGTGGCAGCCCTCAGAAAATCCATGCTGGCAGAAATCAAAGGCATCTTCACCAGTTGCTTTCGGAGGATTACGACAACGACATCTCCGGGCTCGGCATACAAATCTATGGAGACGTTAAGTGCCGACCTCCAGTCAGCTGCTAGAGCAATGAACAAATGCTTTGCGATGGGTTGGTGCCTTTTATCATGTTGCCAACATGCTGTGAAGCAAGCAAGCCCTCCTTCTTGATCTCGATGTCAGATGGCGCAAGTCGGATGCCGCTGAGGTTCTTGGGGTCGAGCAAGGCAACCTTGATGTCCTCCCGATGTCGCGTACAGTGCCGACGGTGGCTTGGGCAGCCAGTGCAGAGGGTTCAGGAACACATCTACAGACCCTAAGTCCTTAAGTTTGACCCTGAACCGTAAAGCCTGACATGTGCCATGGCCCTAAAGCCAAGTTGTGACTGCAACTGCACCCCCGGTAGAGGAAACCTGGAGGCTCAGCTCGAGTTGAAGCCGCTCGACGGTATTGAAGTCCACCTGCACCGCACTGGAAAAGCACACGAAAGCGTGTTTTGGTCTCTAAACTATGGGAACTATGGTATATTCCTTATAATGGGTAAGGCAGGATATTGGAGAAAAACACAAAGCTTCTTATGTGCAGAAGAGATGGTTGCTGCAGGGCTCAGAGGGCCTTTACGCTGATGAAGCAGCCGCTTGTAGGGTCGTAGGCCTCCTTGAAGTAGAGGCCTCAGGACCACTACCAGGAAAAAACACTAAAGAAACCATATGATTTACCGTAGACCCCTATTATGGTAACTTTAGTTAAATCCCTTATCCACTCTTGGAGTAGTTCTGTATCGTCAGCTTCTATGCTCACCGAGGGCTCGGCAAATGTCGCCAAGGTTGGTGCGCTCAATTCGTCCCTTTACGATTCGAGCACTGACCTGACTGACATGGGCTATCCAAAAACACGTGAAGAGAAGAGGCATCTTTGATCCGTCACCCGACCTCGTTGAACTCGTCCCTCAAAGTACAGGTGATGATGGGTGTGGAGATGGTCTTGGCTGCGTTGATGATCTCCTCACATGCATCACACTCCGAACAAGCTGCCCCTCAACGCCCCAGCTGTCGCCAATCTCCTTGATTCGGGGCACCCCGAGCGTGACATTCATGCTGGCCTTCGCGTCTGAGCAGGCTCTTGCGCTGGAAGACTGAATCCGACTGCCACAGCTGCAACTCCCGCGTTGATTGACAAGACTGGACCGACCTAGAACTGCGAATTCAAGTTCCTATAATGCAATGGTGGGAAATCATCGTGAAAAGCGCTTGCTAGCCACTAGGAGCCTCTTGTCGGTCTGCAGTATTTCTTACGTGGAAGCGCCAAACTCTCTTGTGCGGGGGTGAGCATGGGTGAGCGTTCAGCGAGGTCCCTTTGAACAAGAGCTTCATCACATGGGGCAAATTTTCAGCCGCCACCCAAGCAGGGCGCCGGAACAAAGCCGGGGTCCCTGCCACGCCAGCGAAGTGGAAGGTCTTCAGGGTCATCTGCGTCGCTGGCTCGCCGATAGACTGAGCCTGAGAGCCCAGGTTTTCTACCGACGTTCCGGGGCTTCGGCCGGAGCTTCGTCCGCCACTTCAGGTACTTTAGGGCCTTCAATCATTACGTACCAATACTACAGGTAGTATTTGGGGGGATTCCATATTATACTTACAGTATAGTGGGCCCCCAGAACCTATTCGAATTATGAAGGCCCTATCGTACTCATCACGCGGCAAAGCCTTAAAGCGATCAAATCACAGACTGGGTGGCCCACTGCCACAGCCCCAACAGCCTCGCCCGGCATTAGAAAGGCCTGCCAGAGCCAAGGGCAGGAAGGAAGGCTACCATTGCAAGATACTGTAAGTGCGTAGGCTTACGAAATGTCGATCATCTGTGCTTGAGCCGTTGGTCCTACCAGGAGGAAGAGGCCACTCCTGAAATGCTCGCAAGCAAAACCTAAACCAGACACAGGATCTGCAGGAAGGCAAAGACGAGGCACATGTACCAGTATGTGTAAGGTGCTCTTAGCCTTCGGGCAAGGTGTCCGGTACTTTCTGGCCTCCTACAATCCCAGAGACGCCGCAAGGTTGGCTTGACACGAGGGGTGCCAGGGTTGACGACAAGCGAAAATGAACTCTGCAGCTCGATATCCTATACACACTGACCCAGAACCCGAAGATGCGACCGGTCTGAATGGTGGGCCCGGTATGGCCCTGTCAACAGCTCAGCTGAATCCGGGATAGACGGCTCTGTCTAGAATGAGTTTAGTTTACACCACTCGGGGCATCGGCTCGGGATTGGTTGTTTTATCCTCGTCGCTTCCTCTCTGCGAGCTCGGGTCAAGATGCTGCGGACCTCTCTCGCTGAGACCTGACGAGTCCACCGGCCTGCACGTACTTGATGGCACAAGTATTGACAAAGGCATCCAGCTGCTGCAGCGTGGGGCATGACCTTTGCTCAGGCCAGTCAGGGACTTCCACCAGGCTCGGGCCATCAAAATTTAGGCTCGAGGCCCCAAATCCATCAGCGACAGCCCCTCCTTCAGCCTATGACAACAGGTCTCTGCATCAGCGACACCCAACTTTATGCAGTGCAGATTGAACCAAATTAAGAAAAAGCTCCAGCTTGGGGGAACGGGCCTGACCGCAGACTCTCGGAGGTTCTAACTGCTTTAGCATCCGGATACTTCTAATATTCTCCACCCGCACTCCACGGCCTCCAGTTCCTCCGCGCAGCTTTGGCAGACTCCTCGAAAAAGCGATTGCAGCTGGAAGTGCTTCTAAAAACATGTACTACAAATGAAATATAACTTGTACCAGTCGACACTAGACCAAACCAGACCAGACTAGACCAGCCCAGCCAAGACTCTTGCAGAAAAGGGCTCCCAAAACGGCTTTGTGTGACTGGCGGCGAGCGACGGAAAAGGAATCTGGTAATATTCAAGCCGTAAAGCTCCTCCTTAAAAAGGAATCATCTGATTAAGTTAATGGGAAAGTTCGTGCTAAGGCCCTTTGAGAAGTACAGGCCTTACCTGCCGAGCACAGCTGACACCACCAAAAACCTGAAAATCCCAGGCCTCACTATCGCCAACCTCCAGCCCGAGTTGTCCGCGCTTCAGGGCCACCTGCAGAACGAGAACTCGGCCTCTTGGAGGGTTCCAGGCCCGAGGTTCTAGACTCCCATGGTTTCGGAACCCATGTTGAAAGATCCCCCCCCCAATTCCTCGATGCAACACCTGACCCTCCACTCTCCACAGCCTTGACCTGCCTCTTCTGAAAGCACTGACACGAAGTGCCTCTGATACTGGTTGATCCCGATGTGGGGGGCTATTTCTGCTGCACTCAGGTTCCTGTGCCTGCTGTGCTAGCTCCTTGATGAAGCGCCGCACGTCTCCTTTCACGAGCCTAGGGCTTGCCAAGAGCGGAAGCTTCGGAAGACTCGGAGCCCACTTCTTGTGACTCTACTCCGGCGTTCCTGCAGCCAAGGTGCTCGAACTCGAGATCGGAGCCCCCTTGCGTTCGTTTCACGAATTCCTGAGGGTGACTTCCCTCCATGACGGACGGAGGCCTGGGGGCTGCTGAGCTGCTGAGCTTCCCGGCCACGAAGCGCGAGGCACAGGGCTCCGCAAGCTCACGCAACTCCAGAGGGAGAAGCGGCCAAAGCTTGTACCTGTCAAGCTACTCCGACTTGTCCATTCTGGCTGTGGGCTCATGTGTGCTGCTGCCATGTCACTATATGTTGACAGTCCCACCCTAACAGGCCCGTCATTGTGCTGCTCTGCACTTGACAATCACCTCACACCTGTGTTCTCTAGATGCACCAGCGGCCCGTCAGCTTCGACATCCGCAAATGAGGCTGCTCGTTTGCTCGGCGGATGTCCACAGCTACAGAGACTTTGTTGTCCTTCTTTGTGGAGTCCTTGAAGTGAGGAGCCTTTGTGACACCCGGAACCATGGCAGGGCACTCGTCCTTTTCCATCTCCGTCGGAGGCCTTGCAAGCTTTCTTCGAACCGGACATTTGTTCCATGCCGGTCTTGCTTCTATCCCACAGGCACTCTCACTCACCACCACGCCCTCTGTCAAGCTGCACATTCGGATATCCAAACAAGTTGCGTGCCCTTTCAAACAGCGACCCTTGAGCCCGAATCGCATGCTGTCTGAAGTCTCTCGAATCTATCGTCTTTATTGGTCCCTCGCATTCCTTGGTAGCTCCTGTCCCCACTACTGCAACGAGGGCTCTTCATCGCCCGAGCACTCTCACTTTGCTGGCCTCTGGATGGGCTCTGCAACCCGCCCGGTGCGGGCCATGGCCGGCAGCGGTCCGGGGGGTTGTGCAGCCTCGTGGGGGTTTTCCCGAGATGCTCCGATGCTCCACAACTAACATCATCCAAAGGTGCAAGGCAGTGGCCAAAGTGGCCTCATACATTGATGGCAGAATCACTGTGGCCTTCGTCTTGATTTCAGCATATCGATCTCGATGCGGAGGGCGCAGGACATTGATGACCTTGTTTTGCCGGATCAGTTGGTTTGGCGGTTTCTTGCTGCGGGATGTTTCAACGAGATGGTCCTGGCTGTACAGGTCGCCTATCGAAACAACGACGCCATGCTGGGACAAGACTTTGCAAACCGTCCCCCATCAGCAAGCGTCAATGCTGCCGCTGCTGAGGCAGATGCATAGTCGAGAACATACCTTCCGGCACAAGGACATCAAATGGACCACCGCAGCTACATAATGGCATCAACTGCGCACGCACCATGAAGCAGATCCATTCTCAAACCCACGGCCCGAAGAACTTAGGCCCGCAAATTGTCAAGAAGAGTCTGAAGCTCAGTGCAAAACCCTGAAACCCCCCTGAAACCCGCAGAAAAGAAGCCGTCCGACTCCCCCCCCCCTTTCTTTTCAAAAAGAAGACGACCCCAGATCGGGGCACTCGAAGTCCAAGGGCTTGGAGGCCGAGCCCTCCATTCGGGCTGGGTTCAAGCCATCCTGGGTTGAGGGGTTAGGGGTTAGTTTAGGTTTCAGGGTTAACCCTAAACCCTACTGTAATGGCAGGATCTATGGGTGCAATGAAGGCATTTGTACGTCTATGCTAGGATCCGTGGGTAGTATGAAGGGTTTAGGAGCGCGTCTAAAGGTTTCTTGAGTGATTCTTTTTTGATGCCACTTTTCTGGTGGGATCGTAGAGTTCAGCGCTTAGTGACTGCTTTCTGGTCGGATGGGTGTAGACGTTTGAAGCTTTGGTTCCGGCTGCGTGGGGTGTGGGGTTGTCTTCTCATGTCGGTATGATCGGGTTTAGGTGTCGGGCAGAGGAAATGGGAGTTTAGAAACATCCGGAGATTTAACACAAAGATGCTTGACAGATAGCGCCGAATATAAGAAGCATCTAAATGAGGACATGACCAAGAGTGCACATGAAATGTGCCGTGAACATCGATGATCGGACAAAAAAGGCAGCAGCAAAACAGGCATGGCCTAGTGCGTTACAGCGTTGAAGGCCCTGTTCTTTGGAACAGGAGTCGAAAGACTGAAACTGCTCGAACCCACCCTCGTTATGCTTGCCACTGGCGGGATCAGCTGGATTTGGTACTGGATAAACAGTGGACGACCGGAGTTTGTACTAGATGTGTATCAGGCAGGAACATGTTGGAATAGGGCGGCTCGTGGCACTTGGCACTTTCGTGGCTACATGAGAAACAATTACCTGCTGACGCGTCTAGTGACTAGTGCATGCTGGGGGTGGGCACTTCTTCGCCCCGGCTGCCAAAAGAACGACGGTGCATACAACACCGCTATTATGCTGCCATAACGAAGTCACAACATAGATTGAGACCTTGATGCGCTAATACGATGATGCCTGGACAAAGTAGAACGAGACAACGACGCAGAACATGAATAGAAGTGTGGAAGGAAAGACGAGCGGAAGCATGATGGAACCATGTCAGAAATGGCGACTTTGTCCGGTAGTGCTGATATATAAGAGAAGTAGCATTACATTAATGTGTCAACATGTCAACACAACCAAGATGCGAATCAACTCATATACTGGGGAGAGTCTAAAAAAGCAAACTTGCTTCAGGCCAACCAACAAGAAAGACGCGCTCGCATCTTGCAACAACCGAATAAGTCAACATGGGAGATCATCCCCATGCAAACACTAAGCACACCAAACCCTACTGCAATTTCTGCCACCAAATCAATCCATCAAGAGAACCCCAAGAGCAGGCACAGTGAACGGCGGAGCAGTGGCAACTAGCAGCGAACCATGTTCTAGAGTCTAGATTCCAGGTCCATGAAACTACTCGGCAACAACGCGGAACATGTAAACTGCAACAGCAAGCTGCATATCGAACGAAACAGAGAGTGCAGCTCGGAGTATTGCTCTGCAGCCTCACACGCCATCGACGGTCGAAGATGTACTTTGAAGTTCGGCCAGAGATGTGCACCCCCGCGCCGGTTTCGGAACAATTGAGGAATTGATCTGGGGCGGCGGCATCGCCGAAAGCAAACTGGACCACATCGCTGTTCGAGGTTCGGACGGTTAGGTCGTACCTAAGGTGCACTTTCACAAGACTCGGTCCAAGACTCCTAAGACTCCCAAGGGCCTTAAAGCCTTAAGGCTTCAAGCTAAAAGGACCAGGCTGCTTCAGAGCCAGATCCTCCAAAGCCTTCATCAGCCGCCGCTGCATGTAGCCAGTTTCAGCCGTCTTCACAGCGGTATCCACCAGCCCCTCGCGACCACCCATGGTGTGGAAGAAGAACTCCGGAGGTTCCAAGCCGGTGTAGAAAGAGTTCGCCACAAAGCCCCGGGATTTGGGCTCCTTGGAACCTTTTGGGAAGTGTGGGAGTGTGCGGTTGACGAAGCCGTCCTTGATTCGCTGGCCACCCACGTTCTGCTGACCAACACATGCCATCATCTGGCAGAGGTTGATGGGACTTCCCTTGGAACCACACGTGGCCATGATGCGAGGCTTGTTGAAGAAAGCAAGCTTCTCTTCACACATGCCGCCGACGAGGTCACGGATTCGGCCAAGCTCCCCATTCACCACAGCCTCAAGAGTCTGCTCGGCATTGCAGCCAGGCTTGTTCTCCAAGGTGCCTTTGTTGTATTGGCCGATGTATGTGGCAACCGTCTCGTATTTTTCCCTTGTGATCCGCTGCTTCTCATGCGTGACCTTGCCACCGCCACGGCCGTACTCGGCATTCACGTCGTCAATCCCAATGGTGAAGCCGCGATTCATGAGCCAACGGCTCGTCAGCTTGGCAATGCGACTCATGCAGTCCATGGCAGCACGAGCCCCAGAGTCCCGAATGAGCCGGAAGAACAGGCCGTTCTTGGCACCACCCAAAACCTTCTTGCCCAGGTTACCGCTGAGAAGCTCTGAGTTGCGGAAAAGCACGTAACCGTCGTTACAGCAGAACGTCTGGTTCTTCTTGCTGTAGTTCTTCTCTGGAACCTCAAGATTCACAAAGACCTTAGACCTTCGGTTTGGCCGGAGCATCACCGAAATGGCCTGCTTCCCGGTCCACAGCTCACAAGGCTTGATGATGGCGGGCGGTGGCAGGTCGATGGGCTCCAAGCCATCAGAGAGGAAGCAGCAAAGCTGACAGAACTTGTCCCTTGACAAGTAGACGTCCTTTTGGGTCAGGAGGAAAGCTCCTGTGAGGAAGTCCTGGGTTGCACAGATGGCAACCTCCCCGCTTTTCGGCGTGACCAGTCCGTCGCGCACGCCCATGAGTTGCATGGCCTCGGCCCTTGCCTCCTCTGTCTGCGGCAGGTGGATGTTCATCTCGTCCCCGTCGAAGTCCGCGTTGTAGGGTGCACAAACACATTCGTTAAATCGAAAGGTCCGTCCGGGCATAACTTTGGCCCGGTGTGCCATGATGGACAGTCGGTGCAGGGAAGGCTGCCGGTTGAAAAGGACGATATCCCCGTTTCGCATGTGGCGCTCGACCAAATCGCCACACTTCAAGCTCTCGGCGATCTGCTTACGGAATTGCTTCCCCAAAGCCCCCAGGAACTTAGTCCGACCGTCCTTCGTTCTCACGAAGCACGCGCCAGGGTGCTCTTCGGGACCCCTCATGATGGCTAACTTCAGTCGAGTCATACTCGCTTCGCAGACCTTTTCAGGAAAGGTCATCCTCTTCGCCACCCACTCTGGGATCACCACCTGCTCGACGCTGATGTTGGGATCCGGGGAAATCACGGTCCGGCCGGAGAAGTCCACGCGCTTCCCACTCAGATTACCTCGAAATCGTCCTTCCTTGCCCTTCAGCCGCGTGCAGATGGAGCGGATAGACTTGCCCTTAATTTGGGTGAGCCCTGAGATCTCTGAGTTCACGTACCTGGCACAAGCCTCTTGAAGGAACTCCCAGGCCTCGAGCACTTGCCGAGGAAGGCCCCGTTGCAGCTGGGTCTGCAAAGCAGAGTTGGCCTCGACGATCTCACCGACGACCATCGTCAGGTCGTCCTCCCTCGTACCCTTATCGCCCATGCTCACCTCGGCTCTCTTTTCTGATGCCATGCCCTCCTTTTGTCTTTTTCAGTAAAAAATGGTGAAGAGGAAGGAAAGACATCCCTGAATTGCGAAGCCGGAGGGCCGTGGGGCGGATGCAAACGGGTGGCACGGGCACCGACATCAGCAGCAGCTGCTCCGGATGTTGGAACCCGAGGATCTCTCGGTCACTCGGAGTGATGCGCTTCATCAGCTCGTACCTTGGCACCAAACACTAACCGAAGAGAGCGTACTAATCGAAAAGAGCCTTACCCTGCTGTTTACCGCCGAGAGACGCAACAAGAGGATTGAAGTCTTCCGATGCCTTGTCAGTGTAAGACTCCAGATCTTTGTTGAAGGACTTCGCCTCATTGAAGGAATCGATGAAAGGAATCGACACCTCCTCCGAGGTTTGCTTGTTTGTGGGGCCCACAGCATGTCTCAAGATGAGTGGGACACCAGGTCCTTTTCGGAAAGAGCTGTTCTGATAGCCGCAGTGGGGGCAAGTTTTTGTAGACTTGCACGCATGCAAGATTCGCTTCTGCAGCATCTGCCGCTGCAAGTCGTCCGTCTGGGGCCGCCTAAGGCGCTTCTTGTACTTTTCCAGTACTTCGTCTGCCAGCAGCAACCTGGCGCACGACTTGCAAACGGAAGCCAGCACCTGATGCGTATGCCGCAGATACCCAGCGTGGAACACCGGCAGAGCAAGGCTCACGTGCCCGAAATGTCCCACGCACTCGTTCAAGCGCTTGCCGCAGGTGCTGCAAAGCACGTTCTTAGAACTGCTGCCCATTCGCAGGTCCAAAGGGCCGTACACGAAGGGTCTCTCATTTGCCAAATCGTACTGGGCATAGTTCAAGACCTCAACCTCGCTGTATCGAGAGATTTGGTCAGAACTGAGCACGGAGAAGTTCACGCAATCAACTTGATAGTTGTTAAACGCCTCCTGGACAGTCTCCTTCACTATCTTTCCACCTTCTCCACCATCCTCGTCTGCATCTTGCACATCCTCCATGCCTATGTAAGAACCATGGAGCTGATTTTCACAGAACTAGAGTTCCTGGTCATGTACTTTTCATGCAGTGTTGAGGTATGTTGGGTTCAGCTTCCAACGAGAGCACACCTTGCTGGCAGAAGCACCTGCTTGCTGTAGCTCCGGACACATGATGAAAGTCCTGGGAAGCTTGTAAGGCCCTTAAGCCCTGGTAGGATCTTTCGACAGTGCCTGCTCCTGCGGAAGCTCGAGCCCTCGCTGCGCTTGAGCTTCCACTGGCTTGCCAAAGCTTTTTAAACACTGAAACCCAAACAGGCACTGTGAGAGAACTAGAGACGACAAGAGCAGAAGTGAGTGTTCATTCGGAGAAACACGCTTTTGCCGGCGGATGCGCATCTGCACAGATCGATTACTTGCTCGATCCTCTGCATCTCAAGCTGCCTCAGAAGATCAACCACACTCTCACTTACTCTGAATCACACCACGCAATGCTTGAAAACGGCACCGCAGCCGGCAAAGGCTTTGTCACCTTTTGCTTTTAGCTAGACAGCACGCATTCCAATTGCCGGCATTGCATACAGTCAAGTTCGTGCTAAACTGCACTCAGCGCCACCTGCTCCTGCTCTGGGTCGCGTGCCACATCAGCATTGTCCCCATCATCGATTTCGAACTCGCCGTTCTCTGCATCTTCTTCCAGAATGCCCTGTGCCGACGCGCCGTGCATATGCATCTTGGCATCAGGGAAGCCAGACTCCCTTGGACAAAGAATGGAATGTCTTCGCAGCCCCGGGTGCTAAGGCAACCAAAACTCTCCGCTAAGACAGCACCCCGGAACGCCGTTCCGGCCGCAGCCACAGAACTGCAGCACCGGACACGTCAAGCTTGGTTTCTAGTCTGTACAAACCACGACAGAGGAGCTTCGGTTTCTTGCTTTTTGCGCGGAGTGCTGCAACCCAGCAATTTCACACTATCTACTGTTCGCATGTGCAACAATGGATATAGGACCTGGGATGGTTTCGTGATTGCGAGGGCCCTGAATTATGACAAGCTGCCTCCAAAGCTCAAGCGATTCGGCTAGGAGTCTTGAGAACCTTAGAATTTGAGGAACCAGACTGTAGAATTCCGCTGTCCGTGCCTGGACCTTCAGCATTGCAGGGAGAAACATGGCCTCAGCCGTCGGAATTTGCAAGTCTCTCGAGACACAGTCCGAACCACGTGCAAGGATCTCGATGACATGTAAACCCGAAGCGAATTTGCTTTGATGCCGCCCCGAAGCTGGGTAATGCAACCAGCCCTATGTCGGTGCGCCCAGGCTCTTGTACTGTCCCACGCCCCGGCTTGTTTCGCTCATGCCTGATTAACTTGAGCCTTGTCGCCCAACTTCATAGCATCTGACAGAATTTGCGTGAGACACTCTGACGGACAACCTGCAAAACGCCCTCACGAAGCCGCTTGTTGTGCTGAGCGTATGCGGTGCAAACCCTTCAAGCTCAACGTGACACTCAGACACCCAATATAGGGGTCGGAATTCCTGGCAATAATATCGCCTCATACTTCCTAGATTACTATAGCACAACATCTTGCAAAAGCCCATCTTGATCCGAAAGGCAGCTTCATCAAAACCCAGTAAAGTCCCCGTCTGAGCCTGGCACAAAAGGGATCTTTCGCTGCGGACTTAAAGAGTTTCCGGCTGCTAAAGGGACGTCCAATAACATCGCCAAGTCCTGGAAGCTGCAAAAGGACGGGCTTTCGGGCCTTTCAGGGTTTAGGGTTTAGGCTGCTGCTTCGACAGGGGTTTTAGGCTTTGGGGCTTTGGTGCTCCAGAGCTTTCACAGCTTTTGGTCTTGAGGGCTGGCTGCTTCGGGCTCTGCGCACCCCTAAACCCGAAACCCTCAACCCCAATCCCTAAACCCGAAAGCCTCAACCCCAATCCCTAAACCCTATAGGTCCCTTAAAGGAACCCCTTAAAGGAACCCCTAAAACCCTAAACCCCAATCCCTAAACCCTCCATCCGAAACCCGAGCTTTCGGGGCGGAATTCGGCCCGTGCCTTGTCGGGTGGGAGCGGTAGCCCGAGCTTCTCCAAGATTGAGACGAAGTCCTCAGAACTCCCGAGTTTTACAGCAGAGCAGAATATAGTATAATTCTGTTATATTCCGGTATATTATCATAGTACGTTATGGTCAACTATGGCGATGCGTTATGGGATATTATCGTAACTCAAGCTTCTCTTGGGCGGCTAGTTCGTCTCCCCGGCTCCTTGAGCACCATTGTCTCCTGCCTCCTCATTTCCTCGTACACCTGCGAGCCATCAGGGAGTTTCCGAAAATAGGGGACCCTAATATAGTACCCTAAATAAGTACGATCCTTATTATAAGGACCCCAGGGTACCCCTAATTTTCGGAAACTCCCATCAAGTCAGCCTAGTGACTGGTGCCAAGATCTCAAGGTTCGTCGGACATGACTTCCCCTCCCTCGGTTCTGGGAGTTTACATAAGGGCCCTCTTTGCATGACTGGCACGCTTAGCTACGCCCTAAAGCTGTTGCGGCGACCAATCATCGTCCAGTCAGGTGTTGAAAGCCACTTCCAGCTCGCCTCATGGACTCTCTACAAATTTCAAGACGTCCGTTCATTGCGACTCATCGTGCGACGACTTCTGCAGCTACTGCTACGGCGGCTATTGCTGCTTCTGATTCTGCCAACACTGAGGCGACGATCACGGCCACCACCACTGTGTAGAACCACAACAGCAGCAGCGTCAATGGTCACGGTAGCAACCCTACTGTAAAACCGTACTGTTTCAACTCCCTTTAGTTTGGCCTTTCGCTATGCAAGTACTGGACTAGGGCGGGGCAGGGCAGGGCAGGCCGCCCTTCGAACCTCGCCTGGTGAAGATCACGGACTGTGGCCAATTCACAGCCATGCTGGTCAGCAAGAGCCTGCACTCTCCGGATTCACGGCAGGTCCTGTGGGGTCCAAGAATTTCCCGGTACTGCGGTCTGCTGAAAAACTGTGAATATCAGTGGCCCATCGTTTTCTCTTCATCCCACGACATGTTCGTGTTGGAGGCTTGCTTGGCGATAGCTGAAGCCCGGTTTGAGCAATGTGTGGGCTTTCATTGCTGCAACTTCGGACCAAGCCCCAAAAACCCTAAACCCCAAGCCACCTGTTTCGTTTCATTTGCGAGCCTGCTCGACTTGAAGCTCTTCCTGACGAGCCAACCTCACAAGCCGGTAGATGGATTTGTGCGTATGTGTTGTAATTACATATTTATGCTTCATTTATTTATTCGTTCGTTTGCTTTATATGATATTTTTTGTATACCACATACCGATATACATACATATATATATATATATGCTATATATATACTATTATACGCACACATATCATCTATGTATTTGGCGCATTCTTTTGGGCATACATTGTATGGGTTATATATGGTTATATCTTACACATCCTACTTTCTCACGGATCTGTCAGCCTGCAACCTCGTTGCCGTGTACGGGACGTACTGGACGGCAGTAACCGCCTGAAGGACTACTGCCTGCATGCGGCGCATAGCAGACACCTAAACTCGTTGCCTGACCAGGTGGCCTTTTCGGGGTCCCGAAACGTACATGTGCATCCTATGTGCTAGATGTTATATGCAATACCACAGTATTGCCAATGCGCAGGCGGCGGCACACACATCCACAAATAATGTACCCCACAACCCTGTTCTTATTATGAAGGCCCCCAATACTGCACCCCACCACCCTGCTCTTATTATTAAGGTCCCTAGTATTATTATGAAGGCCCCCAACAATTTACCCCCAAAACCCTGTTCTTTGTCTGTTCCCCTGTCTTTACATTATACCCCTCAACTGCGCCAGCTCTAGGCTTCCCGGCTCTTTACAGGTCGCAGCCATGGCCTGCCAGGGGGCGCACAAAGCTTCCTGAAATTGCTCAACCCTCTTCGCTGTTTTCTGCTGGGAAGCTGTGGGGTTTAGGCTTTGAAAGCTGGTTGTTACTATGTGCCTCAGTAGTGCCTCTGTACAAGACAAGCTCGGCAGAAACGGAAAGTCTTACTCAAAGATCCTGATGACGGAAACGGACACGTAGCCGGCATCTGTCTCTCTCTGTCTATTTATCTATCTACCTTTATTTTTGACTATCTAGCTATTACTACAGACATAGCTGCATACATGGTACCTGCATACCTCCATGCCTGCATAAATACGCACACACACACACACACATACCCCCCACACACACACACACAGACACAAACACAGACACAGACAGACACAGACACCAGACACACAGACACAGACACACACACAGACACACAGACACACAGACACACAGACACACACACACACACACACACACACACACACAGACACACACACACCCAGACACACACACGACACACACACACACACACACACACACACACACACACACACACACACACACAGACACACACACAGACACACACACACACACAGACACACACACACACACACACACACAGACACACACACACAGACACACACACACACACACAGACACACACACACACACACACAGACACACACACAGACACACACACACACACACAGACACACACACAGACACACACACACACACACACACACACACACACACACACACACACACGACACACACACACACACACAGACACACACAGACACAGACACACACACACAGACACACACACACACACACACACACACACACACACACACACACACACACACACACACACACACACACACACACACACACACACAGACACACACACACACACACAGACTCAGACACGGACACGGACACGGACACGGACATGGACACACACACCCATCCATCCATCCATCCATCCATCCACCTGCTCAGACTTACTTGCTAACATGCATGCATACATGCATAAATACATTCATGCATGCAAGGACGCAGATTCGAACATGTGCTACATGATTGTAAATATGCACATATATGTGCGTGTGCGTATGTGT